CTTCATTTCCCAAACCCTGCATCTCCAAGGAGACTTTGCAAAAATTGAAGATGACATTGGACTTTTTTGTCTTCCTGATCCAGGAGAGGCAGCTGGGCTTCCCACAAATGTCAAAGCTTTTCCTGCTCCTCCTCCACAGTGGGAAATACAGTCCGACACTGACAATATAACCATCTACAAATAAAGCAAGCTTTTTCAGCTCCACGACCCCCATAATTCCTCATCTGTCGACTTCCTTTGAAACCCTCTGCTCTATTGGAGGTTATGGGCATGAACGATGATTTGTTTGCTGGCTCTTGGAACAACTCCAGAGCAGAAGACGGAAATAAGAGTCTTGAGAGAATGACAGGATGGCCCTGAATGGTACCTGCTTCAAGATGTTTTCACCTCCAGAGTATGGTGGCTGAGCTAGCCCACACCTGGCTACCTCTGTCATCAGCACTGGAGCTCTGAAGCCCGAACACTCAGGCCTAAGGTGGCCTGTGTACCCACTCAGCTGGATTGCTAGGTTCACTCTGTAACTCAGGGCTCAGATGCCAGGAACATGTGTCTCTCCCTCTGAGAGTGAAATGAATCCTGGTCCCGCAGGGCAGCTTGCTGACTCAGATGCAAATGCCACACCAGTTGCATTGATCATCAATCGAGAAAAGTGGAAGATGTAGGGACATAAGATTAGGAGGAGGAGAAAAACTCGTAACCTTGCAGACCCAAAACAAACTGGAAAAGGAGCCAGAAAAGCCAACGCTGGCTCTGGGAGTTTTTCATCTTCATCACATGTCAGTTAACACACCTAGTGCTCCCCACCAGTGTAGATGTAAATGTGGCAGTACAACCCATGGTTCCTCCTTCCTCCGTCATCGCTGGTCCACAAGCAGATGTCCCTTTTCCCGCTGTTAAACCCTCACTGTGCACTAAGTACCTCATGTGACTTCTCTCATTTAACCTGAAAACAATCCTGGGGATCGGGGGAAGGAGGATGATGATGAGGAGGATGAGGAGGATGAGGATGATGAGGATGATGATTTGAGGCAGGGTCTCACTGTGGAGTCCTGCTTGGCTCTCACTTACTATGAAACTTACTATGTAGACCAGCTAGCCTTAAACTAAGATCTGCCTACCTGGGATGAAAGGTGTTTTAGACCTGGCAGATTGTTTTTGAGATCTCTCTGCTACTGGGATCTAAAACAGGGCCTCCTGCATGCTACCAAGTGCTCTTCCATTGGCCCTTATCTTTGAGACAATATCTTCTTTGTTACTGACTGAAGCTGTCCTTGAACTTGTGATTCTCCTGCTTCAGTCTCCTAAGAAGCTGGTTTATAGGTGTGAACCACTGCCAGGCTTCATTTGTCTTTTACAGATAAGGATTCTATCTCTTAAAAAAGCAAATGTGGCCGGGCGGTGGTGGCGCACGCCTTTAATCCCAGCACTCGGGAGGCAGAGCCAGGCGGATCTCTGTGAGTTCGAGGCCAGCCTGGGCTACCAAGCGAGTCCCAGGAAAGGCGCAAAGCTACAAGAGAAACCCTGTCTCGAAAAACCAAAAAAAAAAAAAAAAAAAAAGCAAATGTGGGCTGGTGGTGGTGGTGGTACATGCCTTTAATCCCAGCACTCAGGAGGCAGAGGCAGGCGGATCTCTGTGAGTTCGAGGCCAGCCTGGACTATCAAGTGAGTTCCAGGAAAGGCGCAAAGCTACACAGAGAAACCCTGTCTCGAAAAAAACAAACAAACAAAACAAAACAAAACAAAAGCAAATGTGGGGGCTAGAGAGATGGCTCAGTGGTTAAGAGCACTGGCTGCTCTTCCAGAGGACCTGGATTCAATTCCCAGCAACCACATGGTGGCTCACAACCACCTGCAACTCCAGTTCCAGAGAATCTGAATGTCTTCTTCTGGCCTCCGTGGACACCAGGCTTGCACATACTATACAGACATACATGCAGGCAAAATATTTATACACATAGAAAAATTTAAAAAGAATGCAAAAGTTACTGAGAAAGGATGAGAGCCCACTTCTGGACATTCTAATGGCTAACTGTGGTGACTATTAGCACAACAAAGCACAAGCTGGCCTGCAGGACCGCTTAGTACCTGTGGCTCTTCTCAGCTTTTCTCATCCACCTCCCTACCCTAAACCTCTCCAGCTCATGGGCTTCCCTTCCCCCAACTTCTGGTTCCTAGAGACCCCTGACATTTCAGCCATGTGCTCTCTTGGTCTCCTTTACCTGCACTCCCTTCCTTCCTCTCTTGCTCTCCCCCCACCTCCTCTCATGGCCCAGTCTAGTCTGCTGGCCATGTTCAGTCTCCTGCTTTCTTTCCCTGCTCTGGACCCTTCCAGATGCCCTGGCTGCACTCTCCCTCACGTCTACAATACAAACCTCCTCAACTATACCTTGGAGTAGTCATGTCCTCACTGTATACAATGAGAATCCAAGCCCTTGCGTCAGCCACTATGGAACCTGCTGAGACCTGCTGAGACCATGTCCACACAGCTTCTTGGTGAGGTAGAGCAGTGAAAGGAAGAACAGGACCCCTGGATTCCAGTGAGAGACCTGTTCCTTGAAGAACCTATGACCAAACCTCATGAAAGCAGAACAAAAGCTAATGTTGACTAGTTTGGACACAGGGTAATAGGCTCTCCTAGTCACTATCAGCCTTTATATCTCTGTGGTGATTTGAATGGGAACAGCTTCCATAGGCTCATATATTTGGATGCTTGGTCATTTGGGAGTGGCACTACTTGACAGGGATTAGGAGGTGTGGCCTTGTTGGAGGAAGTGTGGCCTTGTTGGAGGAAATCCGGCCTTGTTAAAGGAAGTGTGTCACTGAGGGTGGGCTTTGGGGTTTCAAATGCTCAAGCAAAGCCGGTCTCTCTCTCTTCTACTGCCTGTCAAGATGTAGAACTCTCAGCTACCTGTCCAGCACCATGTCTGCCTATATGCTGCCATGCTTCTGCTACGATAATGGACTGAACGAAACCTCTAAAGGTAAAAGCCAGCTCCAATTAAATGCTTTCTAAGAGTTGCCATGGTCACGGCATCTCTTCACAGCAATAGAAATCCTCACTAAGACAGTCTCTCAACCCCAGTGTCAAAACAGAGCTCTTCCCTTGACATGTAGGTACTCACACGTCCAAAGCAAGAAGGCTCGCTTTTCTGTTAGGCTAGCGTTGGTTCAGACACTGATGGGAATGACTTGTGAGTCACCTCTACACAAGGTGACCATCATGAGCCCTGGCCACTAGCCGCAGGGACTGCCAATACCTAGTAAATGAAACATTCCTCAGACTTCCTGTACAGTGAAACCCACCAGCATTTAGTCTAGAATTACTCAAAGAACTTATATAATATTGGAAGTCAAGTTCTTGCTTTTAGGAGCCCCTGGTTAATCAGAATTCTCAATTAAATAGAGCCTAGTGAATTGTTTTGAAAACAACTTCATATTAAGACATTCGTGTGAATGAATGAATGAATGTTCCCATATACAGTCGCTTGCTGCTTGATGACTGGGTCATGCTGTGAGAAATGTGCCATTAGATGATCTTATCACTAAGGGAAAAATCATAGAATGTGCTTTTTACACAGTCCAAAATGGCTGCAACGTCACTGGGTAATACAAACTTACAGAATCACCACTGTGTACTCGGTCTGTCATTGGCCAAATGTCATTTTGGGGCCATGGCTATATGTTTAAAATTAATACAAGCTGACTAAAAAGGAAACTTCCTTTGTCTATAACAACTCAGTGAGAACTGATGCACAAAATTAGGACCCTGAAGAATGTAAATATTCTGTATCACACACAGAAAGATGACCCCACATTCACATGAAACTGTCTAATTATATCCAGGGAACATCTGATGCTCCGGGTAAAACAAATCAGGATTTTCTGCTCACCCTGTGTTAACCAGAGTTCATGAACCACCACAGATCCACTTGGGTACCCGGTGCCATGGGGTCACCACTTGGGCAGAGATCCACCTGCCGGCCTGTTCTGATGGCCTGCTCAAAGCACACACTGTGGAGTCAGGGTAACACCACCAAAGTGGCGATGAAGCTGAAAAAATAGAAGTCCATGCACTGTCAGGCTCCAGAGTTTCCTCCACTTGACTACAGTGAGGATGGTAAGGGACATGGCCTCTACTCCTGTCAGAAAGTGTCAGAGGTACAGTGGCAAAGGTATGACCAGGATGACTGGGGATTAGGCAGTAACAGAGGTAGGGTGGCATTTTAATACTGGGCAAAATAAATTCCTTCTATTGCCTGGGCATGTTGAAAGAATAATCTGCCATGCTTTAATTAATTGACTCGTCTCCTGGGCATCTGCAATGGGACTGCTGCAGATGAGACTGTCCATGCACAGCTCCCTCCCTCCATGCTGTAGGGTGGAAACCAAAGTGGCCTTTAGAGTGGCCATGGGACAGCCAGCTCACTGCAACTGGGCTCAAAGATGCACCAGTGCTCTGGGTTTGCTGCCCTAGAGAAGAAAAGGGGTGTGCAGAGGATGGGAAGCTTGAGAGGAAGATGAGAAGGGGTGACCCACACCCAGAAGCCACCAGCTGTGATAAGTCTGCAGAGTGCACCACCACAGGGTAGGAGCCATCTTGTACAGACATCAGTCTTAAAAGCATCAGAACTGACCCCATTTCCATGCTAGAGTTATCTGTCAAAGGAGTACACCACCAAGAAGACAAAGGACTTGGAGACAGATCTGACCGGACAGGAAGCCATGACCTTCCGCAGCCCAACAGTGACATGAGATAGGCACAGCAACCGGTCCTGCAGCCCCGTGACATGCTCTTCAGAATGAGGCAGCCTTCTGGGCCCTGGAGGTGGGTCTGGGCCCCCCAGGGTGGACACCTGCTCTCACCCTTAAAGCATGCTGTGGCCAGGCCCCAGGCTTCACCTGCCCTTGGGAGGGCTCCATGTGGCCCGAGGACAGAGACAGGCAAGCTCATGCATGGGTTAGTATCACAGACGGCAGGACCATCACCACAGACAGAATACCTGGGAATAACCTACTTTGAGGACTCAAATGCAGATAGGTCTTCTGCCTTGGGCTTGAGGCTAAACCAGCAAAATAAAATGAAAAAACAAAGACATACCCTGTGAAATCAAAATGCCACATGTGCCATTTACAAACCTCAGAAATTGAGACAAGTGACTTCATGTACTTTCATGGCTTGAACACTGGCCTCTCCGGTTTTCAGCACTCCAGGCTTTTGTGGCTCAGAGCCCAGTTCACCACAGAGCAGCAGCATAGGCTCAGGGTGTCCAGATGACAAGGAGGCAGGATGAGGGGTCTGAAGTTGCTCCCTCTGGGCTGTTTTGGCTTAAGGGTAGAGACCCCCTTTTATCCCCCTCCCTTTATGAGACAGGGTCTTATATAGCACAGGCTGGACATGAATTTTCTATGTAGCCAAAAATGACCTTCAATCTTCCTGCCTCCGTCTCCTGAGTTCTGTGGGCCACCATGCCTGGTTTTAACTCCCCTTTGACGTTTAATAATTTTGTTTGAAAGGAAAAACCCAGAAAACAGCAGGAGCTGGAGAAAAGGTGTAGAGCATGGCGATGCCTCCCCTGGTAGGTTATGCTACTGGGAGCAGTTCTCCACTGGGTGTCCACTGCAACATGGTAAGAAGAAGCAGTGCTCCCGACTATGTATGTATGTACACACACACACACACACACACACACACACACACACACACACACACACGCATGCACCCCAGTGATGGTGGGGAGACATAGGTTTCTCTGGACTTTCAGTGACAACTTAATCATTGAAAACAGAGACAGTCCTTAAACTGGAGACTACTTTACTGACTGAAATAAAGAATGAAACTTAGCCACATCAGTTATCATCCAAACTCAAGGATAAGGAGACAGGGTCTTATTCTGTAGCCCAGGCTGGCCTTGAACTTACAGTTCTCCTGTCTCTCCCTCCTAAATACTAGGGCTACAATTGTGTGTTTTACAGGGGCAAATAGGTAAAAGCAGAGCATTAACTTCCCAGAGAACCTTTCTGCTTTGCCCAAATAAGAGATCTGTACACTCTTGGGCTGATAGCGGGGACTGAGTAACTTCTAAATCCCTAAAATGATGAGCACTCTGAATATCAGGAGAGACAGACGGGACTCTGTGAGCCTCATAAGTGAAGTCTCATCCTCTTAAACATTAAGGCTCTCCTATACACTTCCTTTTAAGTATGAAAAAAGTTGGAGATTCAGAACATGGTCTTACACAAAGACTAGGGGGACTCCATTCAACAGCCTTTAATTCATTGTGCTTTCTCATTAAGTAAGGCAGCTCCTTGGGCATAAGTCCCACTGGCTTTAAAGACAGAATCACTTTAGTGCTCAGTGACAGATCAAAACCCATCCTCAAACAGGGACTCATCTCATCAGAGCTTTTAACACAAGCTCTACTTCCATCAAGCCAATGGGCTCCATGGGTTCATGGTCATTGGCAGATTAAATTCTCTTTCTGTCAGGAGCTGAAAAATTCCCTCAACTAAGTACATGTTTAAAAAGAAAGAAAGAAAGAAAAAAGAAAGAAAGAAAGAAAGAAAGAAAGAAAGAAAGAAAGAAAGAAAGAAAGAAAGAAAGAAAGAAAGAAAAGAAAGAAGGCAACAGTCTAATGACTGGGCTCCTGAGGAAACTAGATGCCAACCTCCCATTTCATTAATAAGTATCCTGTTCATTAATAAGTAACCCAGGAGACTCCGGTACCTTCTTAATGGTATTGTGCTTGCTACTGGTGCCGCCCCTGTCTGAGTTCTCGTTGTGCAGGATGTCCAAGGCTGTCTCCCGCTCTTTGAGTTTCAAGGCCTCGATTTCCGTCTTGAGTTCATTGAGCTGCTCTTGCAGATGCTTGCTCTTCTCCATGTACTCTACTCTGTGGCAGGAGGAAACCAAGCTTCAGAACTGGGGAGACACTGAGGCATGGAGGAGGTGCGCCATGACTTACAAGCTGTTCAATATGGCAGCCAGGAGCAGCCTGGGGTTCACATCTGAACCTGGCCACTCAGCAGCCAAGGGAGCTTGGGCTACCCATTTAGCTGCTATTAATCTCCTCCACATCAGTGCAGCTGGGATACTAATCACAGGGCCTCTGGTCAGGAAGAAATAAAGTGTAGGAAGAAAGCCCTGTATAAACTTTCGGAGTGCTCTGCAAATAACCCCTGCCACAGACAGTTTTCACTTCTGTGAGAACTCACATCAAACAAGCCTCCTGAACCCCAAACCCTCTTCTGCTTCCGCCCTTCCTGAAGCAGTCAGCCAAGCGACCTTGTCCAGTAGGCCACATCTACTCTCCCACTCATCCTCAGACCTTGAGAAAAAGATGGCAGACATTCACTCAGCCAACACCGAGAAGAAACAGATCTCCACTTTCGTTAAAGTGTTTCAGTACAAGAGCATGAACAGAAAACTATGTAACACAAACATAGGGAAACATTCTGAATGGATTACTGCAGCCAGTCAATGGGCTCTGCCAGCCTGGGTAGGAAATAAGTGCTACGGGCTGAATGTAGTGTTGTCCTATTCATATGCTGTGGCCAGCTCACCAATGTGTTAGGAGGTGAGGCCCTGGGAAGTGATTAGCTCATCAGGCTCATGATGGCATTTATGTCCCGATCCTGACACATATGAGCACACAGGAAGGTACCACCTAGGAACCAGGAAGAGACTCTCACTGAACTCTGATTCGACAACACCTTCATCTTGGATTTCTAAGCCTCCAGAACTATGAGAAGTAAATTTCTGTTGTTTATATGCTTTCTAGCCTCTGGTATTTTGTTATAACAGCCAAACACACTAAGACAGTAAGAAAATACAAACTATAAAAAACCAAGGCACAGGACAGGATGTGGCCTTATGCTAATCACAACCACATAAACACGTACATCTGGACAATAAGAAAGGGACTCAGTCTGATGCTAACAGCAGCAGCTCTGGATCATAGCTCCTTAGCTGTTCTCAGTAGAGGGATTGAGGGAGGATAGCCTGGTTCATGATGGTTCATGCTGGACTGCAGAGCGCTCCTCTGAGAGCACCACAGTGAGGAAGGGGTTTCAATTCTTGTCCTGTTCCTCATCAGCTATGTGATGCTGGGTGACTCATTAAACTAAGTCTATTCTCTTTTATACAAGTGGAACACTAACACTGTTTTTTGGAGATAGGGTCTCATGTAGCCCAGACCAGACTTGAATTTGCTATGTAGCCAAAGACAATCTTACAGTTCTGATCCTCCTATCTCTACTTCCTGAGTACTAAGATTACTGGTGTGGGCCACCATGCCTGACTTGTACTGTGTTGGAGACTGAACTCAGGTCTTTGTGTGTGTTAGGCAAGCACTCTACCAACTAAACCATACACCCCGTCCCTAAATCCTTTTGGCCTTTGATGTCAGTGGGATGTTCGTTAATTAGTGTGAATTAAATGAGACCAACACTAAAAAGCCCAGACTCACAGGTGCTCAATCCATAGGGCCTCTGTGACCGTCCTCTGCCAGCTGTGGCACTATTAACCAACTAACTTCTGGCTCAAGGACTGCGAGGAATCTTATCTAGATTTCGTCTACACTGGGACTCCTCTCCATCTCTGCTCTACTTCCACTGACCACAGAGGAGGTGGAGGACACCTGACAGAAGTGGCCGTGATCTGGTGGGTTACCAGCACAGGGGTACTGGTTCCACCTGGGCCCAGGCTTTGCTCAGCCGAGAAACATGTTTTGTTTCGTTTTCTTCACCTTTGTTCCTGACACAGGGCCTCCGCTGAAGAACAGGACTGGTAGAAACCGAGTTCAGTACTATGTGAACAACAGTCTGACGCAGGACTCACCAGGGCCCAGTCCTAGTCTTCAGTCAAGGTTTGAACCACTATAATTCCAGGCCCCCGTCAAGTGTTATTTTATCCTGGTACACTGACTGCTGTCCTGATCTTCTGTCTTTAATTTCTAATTAGGAAATTTGTTCTCTAGTGGGTGCAGGGGTAAATGACTGGCTGCGGGTGACCGCTGTGTCCCCAGGCCAAATCCACTCTCTCATGTTCATGACTGCCCCAAGCAGGCCACAGAGGGCACATCATACTTTTCCTTCTCTATCTCCATGGAGAGTCGCTTCATGTCAGTGTCCTTGAAGTCGAATGACAGGCCGTCACCACCGACGTTGAAGCTTGGTATATCAGGAGGCAGTGGCGCTGGGACTGGGTTCATGGGCTGCCCGAAAGAAAGTCAGATTAGGAGTTGAAATCACACAGGATAAAGCCCTCTGTACTCAGTACTGCCAGGTAAGTGGTCCCAAAGCACCCACATTCAGACAAGCTACTCTCTTCTCCTCAAACCTCATCATTTCCACGATCACTTGAATCAAATACAAACTTACACTCAGCTTGTCATGTAGGAAACCCCCAGGGATGGGGCTACGAGCTGGACACAGAGAAGACAGGCTCCCTGGCTCTAAGCACATGAAAGTCTTGTTCAGGAAGCAGATGTCTGCAAATCCTCACAGTTTAGTAAGGTGAACACTAGCCAGGGCAGGAACAGAGGCTTAGGAGGCTGGAGGGGGTCGCTAGGGTACTGCTTCCATGGGGATCAGTGAATAAGCCAAAGAAAGGTACCAGGCAAGAGGCAGAGTGGTAGGTGGAGTGGGTCCAACAAGAGCACTGGGCATCTGTAGTGCCCTGTGGGGAGGCTGGTAAGAGACTGGCTTTGGACCAGAAAGGCTTTGCTTGGATGTTAGGGGCTTAGATTCAGAAGACAGAGCCAGAGGAAGGCTTGAAATAAAGTAAGGAGAAGTCATTAGACTTGTTTTCAGGACCTTTTCATCCCAGAACAAAAGGTCACCTCTCATACATACAGCCCCTATCTACCTCTCCAGTGTCCCCCATTATCTGTCCTGCTAAATCATAAAGAGTACAGCTTTGTCCCTGGGGCCATGCCAATTTCCCATTTGTGTACTTCTGCATGTGTCCTCCTTTCTTTCCCTGCCTGCTGCTCTCCTCTCTCTTCCTCCTTCCGTGTCATTTTCCGTGGCCCTAGGGACGCACGCGCGTGTTAGGTAAACACTCTACACTAAGCCACAGCCCCGGCCTTCTGTTGTTGTTTCTGAGATAGGACCTCACCACACAGCCCAAGCTGGTCTCAAACCGGTGAGCCTTCTGTCCCAGCCTCCTGAGCACTAGGATTACAGGTGTATGTCATCATGTCTAGCAAGTTCTCCATTCCTCGTTCAAGGCTCTCAACTCCTTCAGTCTCTCACCAAAGCCCTTCAAGACTCGTCTTGGCAAAATGGCTGCTCTTTCCCTTTGCAGTTCTTTAGTGTGGTGTGCACAGTGCTGCAACAGGTCTGTCCCTCAATCCCATACTGCAAAGCTCCCTCGTGGTTATGTTTTTTCTTTCTACGTCTACAAACTTCCTGAAGGCACTCTGTCTTTTTCATCCTTGGATCTTTTACCGGGTCTGGAATAGTGTTTGGGAAGGAACAGAATCTCGGAACTTTCATTTATGGTGATGAGGTCGAAGGCAGGACATGTGGAGGGTGTCAAATGTAGCTCTGAGCAGGGACATCTGGGCCCTACATATACTCTGTTTTCAGGGCCAAATGCTGGGTATATGAGAGTCTGGTCTGTGAAAATTCATCAGGCTGGATAGTTATAATTTAGGCACATCTACTTATCTTATACTTCAAAAAAATTCCCAGAAAGGAAGAACACTAGCTGTTACCCTTCTGGGGAGAGCAGAAACTAGCATAACCTCTTTGGCGAGTATCACAATTGAACATCTGACCTCAGGGTTCTACTTACGAGAACTGATTCTACCAATATTGTCACATATGTGTGCAAAGATGTGTGTTCAGGGATGTTCAGTGCAGTTGTGTTCAAAATTGCTACAGAAAGCATACTAAATACCTATCTACAGGGACTGGCTAGCTGCATTACAATCCACCCACAGGGCGTGATGTGATTAAGGAACTGGTGTGTTCTCCTGCAGGACACACTAAAGGAAAGAGCAAAGGGAGAGCAATTTATAGTTTCCTCCAATAGATGTTTTAAACACATGTACTTCAGGTACACAGCCCAGCTGAGCCCTCAGACTATCACAGTCCCAGCTGTCACCTGAATGTGACCATCTGAGAGATCTTGAGAGAAGACATGAGCCTGGTTAACACATCATGCCCCAGAGACAAATAAATGGTTGGTTGGGGTTATCTGTTACTCAGGAATAGATAACAAGGACACATGGCAATAACAAACTGCTCGAGGGCTGGAGAGGTGGCTCAGCGGTTAAGAGCACTGGCTGCTCTTCCAGAGGTCCTCAGTTCAATTCCCAGCACCCACCTGGTGGCTCACAACCACCTGTAATGAGATCTGGTGCCCTCTTCTGGCCTGCAGGCAAAACATGCAGGCAGAATATTGTATACATAATAAATAAATCTTTAAACAAAACAAAACAAAAAACTGCTCGAATTTCCCCAGCTCAAACCCTGGGCACTTATGTCTCTGTGTCCTGAATGCATCTGTGCAATATGTGAATGTGCCACGTGCACAAATGTACAGTGTTTGTCATGCACACAACTGTGCAGTGTGTGTTGTTGCGCATGTGTGAATGGATTATATGTTTGTGCTGTGAATACACTGTGTCCTTGCCTAGAATATCCCATCGTCTCTTCCCTGCTCAGCAGGGAATCTGGCTCCTCTGCTAAATGCGGCCACACTGAGCCCTTCCTGTCTCCAGAGCTGAGTTGTGATCTGGGCACCAGTGCATATCTGTCAGATAGAGATTTCCAATTGATGATATTCTATGGGTAGAGAACAAAATCTTTGCAGAGGAGAATGAGCAGAGGAAGGAAGAGAAGTGATGTTTACTTATCTTGTGACCCCGTTTAGGACAAGTCACTCTCCCAGTCCCCAAACTGAGGTGGGCGGCTGGTTCTGGCACAGCAGTGTTTCATTCTGAGGTACAGAGTTAGTCCCTTCACAGAACTATGTTATGGCACATAGCATATACTGACAGCTGAAGATTACATTTAGCTTGACATTAGGGATCTAGACAGCAAGTTCTCTTGAGCGTAGAGACTATAATAGTCATAAACATTGCAGAGCTGGAAACAGCTCTATGGTCTGTTATCTAAGAACAAGAGAGGCAACTGACTAGTCAGTCCAAGGCTAAATGGCAGACTAGGAGGGTCCTATCCAGGCTATTTGCTTTGCTCTGTCACCCTGAAGGCACTGTGAGGTGAACTAAAGGGCTGGGAGGCTTGGGGAAGTTGCTAGACCAAGCAGCCAAAGGCTGCTAGACAGAGCCCAGGCTCACTGGATATGTGGGCTTGGTGGCGATTTCCAAGAGCTTCTGCTTGGCTCTTCGCTCTGCTTCTCGGGCTTCCTGAAGGTCTTGCTTTAGCTGATCGGCCTCTTTGGCCCTGCAAAGAAAGACAGAGATGTCAGCTCCACAGAAGGGGACAGAGAGAGTGAGTAGACAATTACCTTACCTCCAGAGCGATGATCTGAATTAACCCTGTACATGGCACCTAACAAAGCAAACAAGGACAATGTGACAGGGACATTTACAGGAAGCCAGCACTTCTAAAGTAAGAATAGTATTCCTGGGTACTGTTCATCTCAATGGTAAAGTCAGACTGGAATATTGGGTAGCTGGTGGGAAACAACCAAAGCGCAGCTCTGCAAGTCAGCAAAATGCAGCGGTTTGTGCCTGTGGTGCCAGCTACCCCAGAGGCTGAGGCAGGGGAAATGTGTTAAGTCCAGGAGCTGGAGGCCAGCCTGGGCAACACAGGCAGATGCATTCTCAAAATAAGAAAAACATCTAGTATGGTAGCCCATGCTTTAAACTCCAGCACTATGAGGCAGAGGCACACAGATCTCTGAGTTTGAGGCTAGCCTAGTCTATATAGTAAGTTCCAGAACAGCCAGGGCTACATAGTGACACCCTGTCTCAAAGAAACAAACAAACAACAATAACCAACCCACCTCTGAAGCAGGTTGAGAGGAGGGAGGGGAGGGAGGACCCAGAGACACTATGCTTGTTTCTGGGTGAAGAGTGGGCTGGGCCAAGGAGAGCATCACAAGCCTTACACTGGGCCACAGAGGGCAGAACATGGAAGAACTGTTTCTTCATGTCCCCATAAAACACTTGTAGATCAACTGTCCACTTCTCTTGGGCAGGAAGAAGTCCCACCACTGAAGGCATTTGTGTCTTGGTGCAGAACTCTGCTCTGAGTTAGGTATAGCATGGAAGGCTTGTACAGGAGTCCAGCCCCAGAGATATGATCCATACACAGAAAGGGGCCAGGGGTGGACAGGCATCAAGGGACCATACACTCAGAATGACATGCGAAAAGTGGTGAAAAGGACCGGAGAGATGGATCAGTGGTTAAGAGCACTGGCTGCTCTTCCAGAGGACCCGGGTTCAATTCCCAGCAACCACATGGCGGCTCACAACTCTAACTCCAAGATCTGATACCCTCACACAGACATACATGTAGGCAAAACACCAATTCACATTAAAAAAAAGAAAAAGTGGTGAGAAAAAACTGTAGTGAATGTACCTTAGTAGCTAAGAGTCAAATTCAAGTGCTCTAAATCAATAGAGCCAGATGCTGTGGGGAATGTGCCAGTGTTTATCTGAAGGCTACAGGACTAGAACAATCCAGAGCCTAGAATAGTCTAAAGAGTACAGACAACAGTTCTATTCTTCAACCTGGTCACAACCTGGGGCAATCTGGTCAAAAAACACAAGCTGCACTGCTCCCCTAACTACCTGAAAAACTTCTGAAGTAAATAATTGCCATCGATCTGCATCAAAAGGGAAAGAAGCAGGTTGATTTTGTGGATGTGCGTGGGTGAGCAGGTGCAGAGGTCAATGTGGGGTATAATCCTCTATTGCTCTCCACCTTAGTGGAGGGCCTCTCACTAAATGAGTAGATCATGAATTCAACTAGACTGGCGGTCAGTGAGTTCCATGGACTTGCTTTGACCCCCAACTCCTGAGTGAAGGCTATAATACACACCACTGTGCTTAGGTCTTACATGGGTGCCAGGGATACGAACCCAGGTCTCCTCATGCTTGTGCAGCAGGCACTTTACTGATTAGGCCATCTCCCTGGTCCTACTTCCCCTTTAAGAAAGTTATTTTATTGTATGTATGGGTGTTCTGCCTGCATGTATGTTTCTGTACCATGTGCATGCCTGGTGCTTATGGAGGCCACAGAGGGGGTTGCATCCCCCTGGAACTGGAATTATAAGTGGTTTTAAGTCACCATGTGGGTGCTGGCTGGGAATCAAATCCAGGTTCTCTGGAGAGTAGCCAGTGCTCTTAACCTGTAAGCCATCTCTCCAGCACACTGCTTCCCCGTCTCTTAAATACAAAAAGGCCTCTTCTCCTTTCTTTGGCTGAAAGCAGTCTATGTATACCCTGAAGTGTTCTTCTCCTGCAAACTTCACTGTTAGAAGAATGGGATGTGCTGTGGAGGAGGCATGACAGAAAGGTTCCCTGGGCAAGAGAACTAAGTTCTACGCCTTCCCAGTACCTCCCATCCCACCAGCCTGTCCAGGAAGGAGGAGTCTGACAGTCCTGTTCCCACAACAGAGAAGAAGTTTGAGGATGCTGCAACCAGCTCTGGAAGGGCTGGAACCAAACAAGCAACGCTTTACCAGGCTCCAGTGCCCAGGACAGCCGCTCACCTCCTCTCCGACTCCTCGGCCATCTTCAGCGCCAGCACTTCAGCCTCCAGCACCTTCTGCTCCATCAGGCGCTTCTCCTCCTCTGTCCGAATGGCTGTGGCCTTGATTCGCTGCATCTCTTGCTCAGCCTCTGCAGCCTTTTGTGCCAGAAGCTTGGCCTCCTCCTCCGTGATCTGTGCCTTTTCAGCCAGCAGGTCAGCTGTTTCCTCAGACCGCATCTGGGATGGAAAGTACCCTCGGATAGTGTTCGTGCCTATCTCCCCACATCTGGCCTCCCCAACATGGCAGTAAGAACCAGTCTTTTTTTTAACTTTCGTTTTTATGTGTATAGGTGTTTTGCCTGCATCTGTGCACCTGTACCTGTGCCTTCAGAAGCCAGAAGAGGGCATTGGATTCTCTGGGGCTAGAGTTACAGAAGGTTGTGAGCTGCCGTGTGGGTACTGGGAATCAAACCCAGGTCCAATGGAAGAGCAGCCAGTGCTGCTAACCACTGAGCCATCTCTCTAGCCTCCAGGCCAGTCTTAATCTCTCTGTGCCTTCCCACTGAGAGACTCCCAGTCTGTCTGACAACAGATGACATGCTATACACTAACTATTCAGCCCTGCAGATGCCACCATAGGAAAAAGAAAAAAACATTTTACATAGAGAATGCATTTCAGCAGAAGCTTATGTTTGTGGGGGAATAAGCAATTTAAACTCTGTTCTGTCCCTTTAAGTCAGTGATTCAAAAGCAGGAGTCATGCCCACTGCCCACTCCTGTACAAATGTCTGGAGACTATTTTCCTGCAGTGCTGGAGAATCAAATGCAAGGTAGGCTGGGCATGATGGGTATGCCTCTCCTCCAATCAGGATCAAGAGTACACGGTTTTCCTTGCCTATATAATAAATTCAAATTCAGGACACCTGAAACCTGTCTTCCCACTCACCACGCCCCCAAACTGAATACGTAAAAATGAATAAAAACATAGAGCCTTGGGCATGCTAGAAAAGAGCTCTGTCCCTGAGCCACATCCCAGTCCTAGGATATTTTTGAGGTTGGAGTAACATTACTGGCAGCTAGTAGGTAGAGGTAAAGACATTACAAGCATCCTTCAATGCAGAGAACTACTCCCTTAGTAGTACCAGATCATGGCTTGTACTACTTCCCAAGAGTTGATAGGGCCAAGGCCAAGACCCCTGATTCAAAGACAACTCAGTTATGAAAGTGGAGTTTGGCTTCAAATGAATTGAACCTAAATGTTCCAAAAAGAAAAGGTACTGGTGTTTCAAAAAGTGAAAAAAGTTCATGGGCCACAGGAGGCCTAACTCCACAAGTCCCCACGTCACCTCCAAGAGCCCTAACCCTCAGAAATCACCAGAGCTTCGTTGGCCATCGTTGCCTCTTCTTTCATCTGCAGGAGCCTCCTCTCCAACTCGTCCCTCGTGCGCTCGGCCTCCTCCCGCATCTGCTTCTCTCGAGCCAGCCGCTGACGCTCCATCTGGGGAAAGAACAGCTCAAGTCACGGTGCCGCAGAAACCAACCGGCCAGCTTCTGGAGCCCCGCGCTCCTCTGGGGATCTTTCCAGTGTCTGCTGCACTCTGTCCTAAACTAACTGCAGAATGAAAAGCTGTACTCCTTGAAACCAATTCCAGTAGGGAATACAAATTACAAGACCAAATTCAGTCTCCACGTGCAGAGAAAAGAACATTCTTGCACACAATGTGATCGGACCGTACAGATCTCTGTTATCTGGGAAACCTCACAGGGCTCTGCTCTGTGACTGGCAGTTCTCCACATAGGTTTCCCCTCTCCAAAACAGTGGCCCAGAAAAAAACAGCTCTCTTATCTGTTCAGACGAGCCACCTTGACATTTTCAGTCCCTACGGCCCCTTCACACAATTTCATCCACAATCGCGCCTCTCCTCCCTCTGCTTACAGAGGAGGAGAGTTCCTACTCAGAATTTCACAGCAGGAAGCTGCAGTGGCCTTGCACAGTCTTGTACAGCCCCATGTGGAGGCAACTCCGAGCCAGGCAGGAACACAGACCTCACCCTTACAGAAACAGAACAAAGCCTCTCTGCCACCCCCTAGCCTTCTGGATCACAGTGTTAATTGGGCCACCTGCCAAGCTTAACAAGGGGACCGAGACTAAAGACAGCACAGTTCTCTATGACTCCAAGGCAGAGTTCAGAAAGCAGAAGCCAAAAGTGACCAATGTACTATTTTCTGCCTTAGATAAAATCATGTTTAATTACTCCTTCTAGCTTCAACCTCACCCAAACTCTAGTGCTACAAGGCCATCCTTTCTAAACATGAAGTCCCCTAATCGCCCTGTAATTGAAAGAATCATGCAAACAGATAAGCAATAGGGTAAGTTTTTTGATTTTCCTCTTGACCTCAGTGAACAGTTGGCAATCTGTTCTTCAATTTCCACTAAAACACAATTTCTATTTCCATTATTCTCCTTTTGAGAAAAAAAAAAAAAGGACCAGGCCGTCCCCAGTTCCCAGTCCTTGTACTTTTCATGAGACCTTCACCCTAAATAAAAAAGGACTTCATGTTTTCAAAGCAGGTCATGACTTATGTAGATTTTCAGGTTCAATCTGAAACAGGCATCCCCAGCTAGCACTTGACAGATGAGAAAACTGAGCCACATAGACAAGATTTGGCTGCAAGGCTGCCATGTCCCATTGGGCGGCATTTGCACTATTCCCTTCCAGGGCCCAAGGGCCTTCACTCTCCTTGATGCTTTCAGATCTCTAACTTCTAAACTTCCCTTTGCTGAAAGTGAGGTCAAAGAGTGCGCGCGCGCGCGCTTCTTCCTTTCTTTCTTTTTTCTTTTTTTTTTTTTGGTTTTTCGAGACAGGGTTTCTCTGTAGCTTTGGAACCTGTCCTGGACTAGCTCTGTAGACCAGGCTGGCCTCAAACTCACAGAGATCCACCTGCCTCTGCCTCCCGAGTGCTGGGATTACAGGTGTGCGCCGCCACCACCACCCGGCAAGAGCGCGCTTCTTAAAGTCATCACTACACCTCCACGCAAGCTTAGTAGCACTTTTTTGTTCAACAGAACCTATACCATCATCCCTAAAACATCCAAAAGAAGACACTGATGGTCCACTGTCCCAGGAAGCAAACAGAGGGCAAGCTCACAGCTCACTGGCTCAAACTGGGCATTTCTCTCTAAAGTCTGGGGCCAGGAGCCAGCCTCTCTGGGCTTCCCAAATCAGAGAACCCCACACAGACTAATTATTACACCTCTGAGCTTGCAAGTCCTGAGGGGAGCCAACTGCAGCTGTAGCTACTCTATCAAACAGTTCATCCCAAACCACAATTGATATTCTCAGCAGCAAGGCTCAAATTAGCTGTGGGTTTCAGTGAGCAGAGAAGGTCTGTGAGTAGAAAGCATCGATGCAGCTAGTCCAGTCTGCTGATAGGTGCTGCCAGTACCTCCTGCAGAGGGCTAGCCATGTGTGCCCAGGCTGACCTGCAGTGAGGAAGTGCAGCGGGAGCCTAATTAACATTCCACAACAGGCACTGAAATGCCGTCTTGTATTCTGTCACCATCTAATTAGAAAGGGCACTGACCTGGCAGAGGAGACAGACATAAAGGACAGCTAGATAGACAGAGAGACAAAACCACTCCTGGCTACCTTGTCCCAAGTCTGTGATAAGGATAAAAATGACTAAAGATCTTGGTGGGTGGGTGGGTGTGTGTGTTTTAAAGATAGGCTATCAGAACTTACTATGAATTTCCTTTAAAATTTTTATGTTTATTTATTTGTGTATGTAAGTGTGCATGTGGCAGTTAGAGGACAACTTGTAGAAGTCAAGTTTTCTCCTTCTATCATGTGACTCCTGGGTATCAAACCCAGGTCGTCAGGTTTACCCACTGAGCCATCTTGCCAGCCCAAGTGCTAATTTCTATAGCTGACACCCCATTATCTGGGCATTACCGAAAAAAAGATCCAACAGGAAGGAAGGAAGAGCAGGTACATCTATAACCAGACTGGTAACAGTCACCCCTTATCTCGTAGGCCAAGACTGACCAAAAGCAGTATCATCAATTAAAACAAGGTTTTTAGGCCGAGTGTGGTGGCACACACCTTTAATCCCAGCTCTCAGGAGGCAGAGGCAGGTGGACCTCTGTGAGTTTGAGGCCAGTTGGGTCTACAGAGCAAGTTCTGGACAGCCAGAGCTGTTACACAGAGAAACCCTGTCTGGAAAAAACAAAACAAAACAAAAAACTAAAGCAAACCAAACAACCCACGATCTTTAATTATTACTACTCATTATTGTGTGTATGAGTGAGTGCATGAAATGTGTGGCACGTGTCCTGTGGTACCAGTGTGGCTGTCAGAGGGCAACTCTGTGGAGTCCGTTCTCTTTCCATCTTTCCATGGGTTTCAGGTATTACATGAACAATGGTAGGCATGCACATCAAGAGCCTTTCCCTGATGAGTCACCTTGCTAGCCCTAAACCACATCTTAGCTGGGCATGGTGGTACACGTCTGTGATCCCAGGGTTAGGGAGGCTGAGGCAAGAAAACTGTTTTGAGTTTGAGGCTGACTTGGCTCCACAGAGTGTACCAGGCCAGGCAGGACTACATAGTAAGAGTGTTCCTCAAACAAACAAACTAGGGACTGGAGGGATAACTCAGTTAATAAAGGGCTGGCTATGCAAACACGAGTACCTGAGTTTGATCCTAGCACCTACAAAAAAGGCTGGGCATGGTAGCATACTAGGGAGGTGGAGACAGCCAGAGCCCAAGGGCTTGCTGTTTTAGCTTTATCAGTGAGTCCCTGGCCACTGAGAGTCCCTGCCTCAAAAGACAAAGTAGATGTCCTTGAGGAATGATACCCAAGGTTGACCTGTGGCCTCCAAAATCAAGTGCACAAATACATATATACACAAACCAAATGCAAGGAACAAAACCTGAAATCTTACTCACCTGCTTTCTAGCCTTCTCCTCCCTAGCCTGGGCTTTCATCTGCTGAACTTCTAAAGAGTCAGCCTTCCTTCTCCTCATAAATAGGTCATGGTTCCCAATACACAGCTGGAGAATCTGTGGCCACACAAACAGAAAACATGTTAAGTGTATAAATTCACTTTGCTGCCTACCAGCCTGCCATGCCACAGCCTCTTGGGCTCTGTGGGCAGCAGTAAACCTGAGGAAGAAAGAATGGAATAAAACACAAAAGCCTTGCTAAGGTCTTCTAATGTTCTCAGTTCTAGAAACATGTACAAGGAAGGTACCTCAGATAATCCAGGAGATAAAAATCACAAGTGAACAGAGGACACTCCATTAGTCACCCAAATGTATCAGTCTCCTAAATCAAGATGTGGCAAGACAGATAGGGGGACAGGAAGACCAACCAGGAAGTTGGGTTGGGTCAAAGGTTATTCATGTGGAAAGAAATAAGCTGGCTCTCTCCCTCATACCAAAAAGCTGATTCCAGTCTCAAAGGTAACTTTTATTTGAAAATACAGAGTGTTTTTTAAATCAGGAAAAGGAGAGCTGTCAAGTAAGAAGACACAGAAGAACAAATGGTTGGGGATGTTTTTGGGAGGTAGGGGTGGGGTCTGAGACAGGGTTTCTCTGTGTAGCCCTGGCTGTCCTGGAACTTGCTCTGTAGACTAGGCTGACCTCAAACTCAGAGAGATCCGCCTGCCTCTGCCTCCCGAGTGCTGAGACTAAAGGCGTGCGCCACCACCACCCACCCGGCTATGACAGAGAATTTTATGTGTTGACATGCAAGGTGAAGATTTTTATTTGTCATAGCATCATAAGAAGGAAAATGAGCCTTAGGAGGATAATAATTAATAAAGAAAACAAACAACCCAAGAGGAATGTGGCCAAAAGACATGAAACAAATTTAACTGAACAGGAAATTAGATTTGGTCAAACAAATATAAAGATGTAACTTCATTAGTAATTATAAAATGCAAATCAATATGGCAAGTGAAGGGCTGAGATATACCTCAGATAGAGTGTTCCTGACATGCACAAAGCCCTAGATCTTATCTCCACTCCCCACCCGACCCCCCTCAAAAAGGTTAACTGTATAGGTTAAACTAAAGAGAAAAGTATCTACCAAATCAAATATTATTTTATACCTCTTAGCAAGAGAAACTAGGGCTAGATTCCTGGCAGAGAAGCTAATAATATATAAAATCATTAAATTCCTCAGAAACGTTAGTTCTCTGTCAGAAAAGCAGGATCTCAACTTACCAGCTTATTAACACGAAGCTTTGAGGAGTTAAATTTGAAGACATCAATTTTCTTATCCAGTGGCTTAATAGTAAACTGAAAGAAAGGAGTACAGTTTCATGACACCAACTGGGAATCCACTAAAGTAGCAACCACACTGCCCCTCGTCCTGTCCTCCCAGTGCCCAGGAATAAAGCCGTGGTGAGTTGGAGGCATACAGGGACCAAGATTGGGCTGTAGAAGTTCATGACCCTAACCATCTGTGAAGAACTGACAGTGGCAGCCTGAAGTTGGAACCCATGATGGGCCTGCTCCAGAGGTCACACTGGCATAGCTCTTTGCCTTCATAAAGCCCAGTCTAGTAGGACTTAGTCCAACAACAGCCAAATACTCAAAAGATAACACCATATATCCCAGTGTAGGGAGGACATGTCACAGATATCCTAGAGGTTTAGAGCAGATCTGGCACAAATGGGAGGTATGATAGCTGGTCTTAGAAATAAATGACAGAATAGCTAAAAGATAGGTGGAGGGGCATTCCAGACAAGTCAAGTAATAAGAATAAATTCAATATCCATCACTGAAAATTAAGAAGAGGAGGAGATGGTGAATAGGGATATTGACCATATTAGCTCCTTAGTAACTGCAATGATACAGTAGGCTTGGACAGATAGGAAGGCTGATGGGTGGTGAAGAATAAAAAGTCAGGGGGTGATTGTTGTGGAATATTACTTTAACTAGGCAAAGACCTGTTACATTTGTTTATGCTGTGGAATATTACTTTAACTGTAAAGATGTGTTGTTACATTTGTTTATGCTGTGGACTATTACTTTAACTGTAAAGGTGTGTTACATTTGTTTATGCTGTATTTGCTTAATTACCAAAAGATGTGTTGCTGTTTCACATTGCCTGCCTAAGACATCTGATTGGTCTAATAAAAAGCTGAATGGCCAATAGCTAGGCAAGAGAGGTATAGACGAGGCTGGCAGGCATAGAGAATAAAAAGGAGGAGAAATCTAGGTTGAGAAGAAAAGAAGAGGAGAGAATGAAGGAGAAAGAGAGGAAGACGCCAGCCAGTAGACACAGAGTAGAACATACATAAGGGTAAAAATCTGTGAGATTAAAAGGTAGATAAACAGGTTAATTTAAGTTAAAAGAGCTAGCCAGGGGTTGGGGATTTAGCTCAGTGGTAGAGCACTTGCCTAACAAGCGCAAGGCCCTGGGTTCGGTCCTCAGCTCCAGAAAAAAAAAAAAAAAAAAAAAAAGAGTTAGCCAGAAATAAGCCTAAGCTAGGCCAAGCATTCATGACTAATAATAAGTCTCTGTGTCATGATTTGGGAGCTGGTTGGTGGCCCAAAAAAGACAGCCTGGTACAGGTGATATTTGATGTGGTAAGATACAGCAAGCTACTATGGGTTTCTGAACATGGTCAGTAGGTAAAAGATGCTAAGAGAAGAAATACAGTGTGAAGAAAAATGGATTGCTGTAAAAGAGAAAAATACAGTTCCTGAAATCAAAAAGGATAGGTGACAACTTAAAAAGAGATATTTAAATCACACACACACAGACAACTATTACTATGAACCACTGAGGAGACCAGAGAGCTCCCAGATGTCAAGGATGCCCCTGGAAATGTGTCTCTCAGCTGGACATGATAACACACACCTGTCATGCTGGCACTCAAGCAGAAGGAGGAAGATCACAAGTTCGAAGCCAGCCTGTTCCATATAAAGAGTTCCAGGCCAGCCAGGACAACATAGCAATACTCACTTCAAAACCAAAACAAGCCAGGCAGTGGTGGTGCAAGCCTTTAATCCCAGCACTCGGGAGGCAGAGGCAGGCGGATCTCTGTGAGTTCGAGGCCAACCTGGGCTACAGAGTGAGTTCCAGGAAAGGCACAAAGCTACACAGAGAAATCCTGTCTTGAAAAACAAAAATAAACAAACAAACAAACAAAAAACCCCAAACCAAAAGCATATTTAGATCAAAGCATTTTATATGCATATATGAAAATATCTTCCTGACACCCATTACTCTGTACAATTAACATATGCTAAGAAATACTGTAAAAGTGCATACGCATTCCCAAGAGAAACTTGTACAGCCACTCCCCAGAAAAGCAGGAAAAGATAAATGACTGAGCCAGGGGGCAGCTCTTGCCTGCATGGGTTTCCTTCCTCAGGACCACTAAATATGAAACAGAAAAGAAAACAAGAAGAACGAGTTGCTCAGCAAATAAACTTACTGGGAAGGCAAATTCTTGGGTATTTCTTTTCTTCTTTTCAAATTTTATTTAAATAACATTTTTTTCATTTATTTTACATAGCAACCACAATTTCCCCCCTCCTCTCCTCCACACCCTGATATTTCTTTACATGTTTATATTGTCCAATGAGAAATGAGCATACACAGAACAACAACAAAATTCTTTGTTTAAAGTTCAGCCAAGTTAATTTGTCATAGTATGCTCTGGTATAGAATATTATTTATGAACTTCATAAGCTTATTTCTAGCCTTGCTAATGAACCCTAGAGCATGAGTGGGAAGTCACAAAAAGTATGGAAACCACAGGCTCTGTGTCACGCCAGGCCATACACAAAGAATCAACCTGAATCAAATCAACTGTTTTAGCAGGATGACTGCCATACATAACTCTCAAAAGTACTTCCCATTATGGCATGCCAAAGTATTGGGGTCTGCTTGCTGTGTAAGGTACTGATATGATGGAATATGATGGTACCTTGCCCCTAGAGAAGGTACATTAGAGTTGGTTGTGTCAGGATAGACTAGGGGACCTTAATCCTTGAGCTCTCTGAAAAACAAGTATCTGAGGAACCTTTAGTGTACAAACTAAAGATTTAGTGATGTGTAGTGAACAGCCTCTGTGAAATTGGGAGGTGAAGGACTATTTACACAGTGGAACATTCACTACTTTAAGTCACATGGTGCTTCCAATTTAAGGACCTGAAAAAAAAGAACTGCCTACTGCTCACTTCTCAGGATAATTAGCTACAAAACCAACCGTCAGAATGTCTAGATTAAGAAATGCAATTGGCCTGGCAAATGGCTCAGCAGGTAAAGGTGATTGTCACCAAACCTTAAGAACGGAGTGTGATCCCTGGTACCAACATGGTTAAGTGCTGTGGGATGGTCTCTATGTCAAGTGTGTTGTTGATTGGTCAATAAATAAATCACTGATTGGCCAGTGGCCAGGCAGGAAGTATAGGCGGGACAAGGAGGAGAATAAAGCTGGGAAGTGGAAGGCGGAGTCAGAGAGACACTGCCAGCCGCCATGATGACAAACAGCATGTGAAGATGCCGGTAAGCCACGAGCCACGTGGCAAGCTATAGATTTACAGAAATGGATTAATTTAAGCTGTAAGAACAGTTAGCAAGAAGCCTGCCACGGCCATACAGTTTGTAACCAATATAAGTCTCTGTGTTTACTTGGTTGGATCTGAGCGGGTGTGGGACTGGCAGGTGAGAGAGATTTGTCCTGACTGTGGGCCAGGCAGGAAAACTCTAGCTACAGTTAAGAAGAGAAAAGACTCCTACAAGTTGTTCCCTGAGCTCTCCACATGCTGGCACAAGCCACACCCCTTTCTCCAGTAAATAAATAGATCAATGTAAAACAAGCAGCTCATTTTGAGTTTGGTATGACGATGCACACCTGTAACCCCAGCATTTAGGAAGAAAAGACAAGAGGACTGTAAGTTCTAGCCATGTAGAAGGACCCTGTCAGGGAGACAGAGATAGAGGGAGAGGAGGAGGAAGAAGAAGAGGAAGGAGAGAGGCAAGTTTAATTTGCCTCAGCAAGCATGGTTGAGTAATTTAAACCACAGATTGGAAACAAGGGCCTAGTATTCCTTTACTTGAGTTGCAGAAAAGAAAGGGAAAGGGAAAGAGAAAGGGAAAAGGAAAGGGAAAAAAGGGAAAAAGGGAAAGGGAAAAGGAAAGGAAAGAAAAGAAAAGCAAACAGGAAATTTGCTCCAAGACCTGCAGACAACATAAGCTATCACTGTTACTCACTGCCTGCCTACTCTGCCTCGGATGTGCACAGGTCTAGCCTCTGGACCTCCCTGATAAGCAGGGAGCACTCTAGCTACTAGTCCTGGCCACTCCACTCATCAGACACCAGGTCTCAATGTATCGGTTTTCTGGTGACATGGACACCAAACATGTCCCTGCCTTTACAGTAAGTTTCTTCTGAGGACTCATCCAGCCAGGGCTCATGCACTTGTAATTAGAGGCCCTTCACAACAAAAAGAATGAACACATAAATCATAGGACTGCTGCATTTGGAGAAAGCCATCATCTTATAGAAATACATGAATCAACTCTGGGCATAGTGGCTCATGCCTGTAATCTCAGAATTTAGGAGGTTGAGGCAGGAGCACTGCTGTCAGTGCAAGCCATCTTGGGCTACAGAGAAATATTTGAACCCAATGAACGTCATCTAAGTTCCTCAAACTATATCCTCTAAATATGGCAGCCTGCTATCTTCACTCATGTCATTGCTGAAATGACATGAGACCCACTGATGGCTAATCTTGGCTGTCATTTTGAGACTGCACCTAGAATCAAGTAAAACACAAGATGCCAGACACTCCTGTGAGGGATTTTCTTTCTTTCTTTTTTTGTTTTTGTTTTTCTAGACAGGGTTTCTCTCTGTAACAGTTCTAACTGTCCTAAAACTCACTTTGTAGACCAGGCTGGCCTCAAACTCATAGAGATCCGCCTGCCTCTGCCTCCTGAGTGTTGGGATTAAAGGTGTGAGGGGTTTTCTTTTTTTTTTTCTTTTTTTTTTCTTTTTTTTTTTTTCAAGACAGGGTTTCTCTGTGTAGCTTTGCGCCTTTCCTGGAACTCACTTGGTAGACCAGGCTGGCCTCGAACTCACAGAGATCCACCTGCCTCTGCCTCCCGAGTGCTGGGATTAAAGGCGTGCGCCACCACCGCCCGGCAATGAGGGGTTTTCTTAATCAGATTATGAAGCAGGAAGACCCACCCTAAATCTGGGCCATGTTTTCTGGCGGTAGCCCACATAAAAGGACACAGAAGAAGGAACTTTGCTCTTGCTAGCAAGCTCGTATGTCCTGTTGCGGCAGCACTCCTTTAGCAGCATTAGAACTGACTTCACTGGGGTTACAACACAGACTAAAGACCAGAAGCTCTTCAGGAATCCCCAGGCCTTCAACACAGACCGAGACTGCAGAGACATCCAGCCTTGTGGAAGGAACAACTACTCGACTCTCAGTCCCTCCAATGGGAGACAGCCACTGTTGGACTACTTGGACTGTGTGCTGTAAGCCAATCCAATGAATACCTTTTTAATAGACATATTCATCCTATCAGTTCTGTTTCTTTAGAGAATCTTGACTAATACACCTCCTACAGACTATGTAACTATCAACCTGGCATGGTGGTTCATGCCTTTAATCCCAACATTCAGGAAACAAAGGCAGATCTCTGAGAGTTGAAGGAGGCCTGGTCTACATAGCAAATTCAAGGTCAGCCAGGACTACACAATGAGACCTTGTTAAAAATAATAATAATAATAATAAAGCACCCTCCCAAAAAGTCACCTACACATACACACTTTTCCACTACACGTATCAAACACAGTACATAGGGGGAAGCATAACATAGACCACACTTAAAATACAAAGAAACAGCCGGGCGGTGGTGGCGCATGCCTTTAATCTCAGCACTTGGGAGGCAGAGCCAGGCGGATCTCTGTGAGTTCAAGGCCAGCCTGGGCTACCAATTGAGTTCCAGGAAAGACACAAAGCTACACAGAGAAACCCTGTCTCGAAAAAACAAAAAACAACAACAACAACAAAAAAGAAACAGAAAGCCAAGTAATCAGAAATGTTCCTTTTTCCTTCTTCTGTTCTTTGGGGTTTAGTCCTGACAGGCTAAGCTGCTCACTCTCTTGTTAGTCAATAGTAGGTTTTAGCCATGCCCTTTGAAGAAAGGATGCCAAAACTGTTCCGTAAGTACTTTAAAAATCAACAAAATGGGAAAGGACCTTTGGCAGGACCACTGCACCACAAGTGGCACCTCCAGGACAGACACGTCCTACCTCCTTGTCGCTGTAGGAGATGTTTCGGATTTCATTCCATGGGAAGGAGATCTTGGGGGTCAGCCTGTTCTCAGGGTCATAGATATGAAGTCCCAGAGCATCCACTCCAAGCAGCAACTCTGTACCCTTTTTATTCTGCAGAGCCAATAAAGAGCAGCCGTTGTCAGCTTCCGGCTGGGGATTATGTCTAACATTCTAAAGAATCTGGCACACACTGTTACATTTGACAAGTTTCAACAAGTCTCAACAGAAATCACAGCTCTCTTGTAACCCAGGAGGTTTCCAGCTTCTGGATTTAGGGAAGCAGAGGCAAAACAATACTATTTTTGTGACTGGTGTGTCCTCTGGGTCACTGTGGACTCAGGCTCCTGTTACTGGCTTGGCAGCTGAAGAGACGGTAATTTAAATGTTGTGAGTACTAGTTAGCTAACCAGATGATCAGAGGGAGAGCCTGATCCCCGCGTTTGAACACTTCTCCCATCACAGGAAACGGCGGCTTCATGGGGTCACTGTTGCTCTGTGGTAGTGTTCTCATCGGCACGTACAAGGCCCTAGATCTGATCTTCATCTCACACACACATACAAGTTGTTGGACTGCTAGAAGGAAAACTTTAGGTCTAGGAGCTAGATGATCTTATTTTAGGTTAAATGCAGTTTCAATGTAGTTTTACTATACCATACCCCAATATGGTAAAATGTTATTTGTATTTTAGGAGTAGCTAGGTGGTTGGTATATATGGCATTCATCGAAAACTTAATTTTCCTATGTTTCAAATGCTTGATAATTAAATGATGGAAGAAATATATACAAATTATATTTCAATGAAGCTGTTTAAAATACCAGTTAACTATATGAATGTTATACTCATTCCCCGAGGGGAGTCCTGGTCAGCAGTTAGTACAACCAGAGGCCTAGTGCCTTGTGCCCCAAGTTACTGACCCAGCTGTGAAGCCACTGGCTCCAACCTCACAGGCAGACCAACTTGCCAGTGCTGTAGTTTAGCCTTTGTTGTGGAAAGAAACTCCCCCCTACCACACGAGGACACTCCAGCTCCTGACCCCTTGCTGACAACAAGGAAATTGAGCCAAGACTCAAGGGTAGACCAGCAGATCTGCACACTGAGAAGGTGCCTGGGCTGTGACAAGAAGTACCAATCTAACAGCAGGTGTTAGATGTGTGCTCTAAGACGATCTCTCTACTCTTTCTAACACCTGAAACCAGGTGCTGCCACCCAGGCGTTAAGAGTGTTGTCCTTGTCTGAAAGCTTTTAAAAGGGATGTGCTGACAGAAGTGAGGCTTGTGTTATTACATCTGTACCCTATCTTGGAAAATAAGGTATTTCCTTATGTTTCTGATGATTTAAATAAAAAAGAAAGGATTCTACCGTCTGCTATCATTATGACTATGACACTTCTAGAGACCAGAGAGGGTAGCACAAATAACTCCTCTGAAACTGTTTTAATCACCTAGTACCCCATTAATACATGCAAGTGTATATTTATCAGTTAAAATCAAATGTTTTAAGCATTTATCTTCCCTAATTAATGACAGAATTTAAGATCTCTAACATAAAATTACTCAAATGTCTTTAACTTTGTCTATTGCTCAACATAAAAAAACATACAAGAAGTAGTTCATGCTCATCTGATTCATGTAGAAATATTCCTATGAAGAAGAGAAGGAGGAGGAGGAAGAAGAGGAAGAGGAGGAGGCTGGGTTTTGGGACTGCTGAATAACTTAGTGAGTCAAAATGCCTACTGCCACACCTGATGACTGAGTTTGACCCCAGGACGCACATGGTAGAAGAGAACTCTATAGCATACTGTCCTCTGCATACCACCAGGAATAAATAAATAAACAAGTAAATGTAATATATTATATATACATAATTTTTCTCTTCTAAGTAAAACAAATTTGTAAGAACACTAGTGGTGTTTTTGTTTTTGTTTGTTTGTTTTGTTTTCTTGAGACAGGGTTTCTCTGTGTAGCCTGGCTATCCTGGAACTCACTCTGTAGACCAGGCTGGCCTCAAACTAAGGAGATCTACCTGCTTCTGCCTCCCGAATGCTGGGATTAAAGGTGTTCACTACCACCACCCAAGCTAAAAGTTTTTTGTTTGTTTGTTTATTTTTAAGATTTATTTATTTATTATGTATACAGTGTTCTGTCTGCATGTATGCTTGCAGGCCAGAAGAGGGCACCAGATCACATTACATATGGTTGTAAGCCACCATGAGGTTGCTGGGAATTGAACTCAGGACCTCTAGAAGAACAGCCAGTGCTCTTAACCACTGAGCCATCTCTCCAGCCCCCTAACAGGTTTTTTGTTGTTGTTTGTTTTTTTGAGACAGGGTTTCTCTGTGTAGTTTTGGTGCCTGTCCTGGATCTCGCTCTGTAGACCAGGCTGGCCTTGAACTCCCAGAGATCCACCTGGCTCTACCTCCAGAGTGCTGGGATTAAAGGCGTGCACCACCACTGCCCAGCCCCTAACAGGTTTTTTAAGGATTGCAAAATGCTTTCTTTCTTTTTCTTTTTTTTATTTAATACAATTAATGTTGGTGGTGGGCAAGAGAAGTCAGTTGGGTTGACAAAACCACAGAAGCTCACTAAATTGGTCTAACCTCAAAGAAATGGATGTTAGATACAAATTAATGAAACTTTTAATTATTTAATATTTACTTATGTGTGTTGTGTCTGTGCATGCATGTTTATGCCACAGCACACATGTGAAGGTCATAGGACAATGTGTGGGAATCAGCTCTCTGCTTTCACCACGTGGATTTCATGGACTGAACTCAGGATGTCAGGCCAGGCAGCAAGTGCCTCATCTACTATTCCATCTCACCAGTCCTCATGAAACATTACAAACTACCTTCTACATTTTTTTAAAGAGTTTTTTTTATTATTTTTTATTATTATTATTTTTAGTTATATATGCCCTTGGAGGCCAGAGGCATCAGATCCCTCTGGAGCTGGAGTTTCAGGCAGTATGAGCCTCCCAAGCTGGGGGCTGGTAACTGAACTCAGTACGTGCTCTCTCTCAACTGCTGAGCCATCCATCGTTCCAGCCCTACAACTTTCTGCACTCCTATAAAATACATTTTGAGGCACCTGCTTATTAGAGCTGAACATTTCAATGTGCCCTGTTTTTTATGCAAAGAAATCCACAAAAACCTGTATTTAGAAAACAAATTAAGCAGAAAGCTATCCTAGAATACTGGAGATGTACTTAATTCAATTTACTCAAAGTTAACACAAAGATGTAGGAACCTACAGAAAGGCAGAGAGTAACTGGAATCACAAAGGTAGATGACTGCAGCTGATCTACTCATCTGTGGCCAAGCATCCTAACAACCCCTCATCTACCAGTGAAGAAAAGCATGGGTACATCACATGGACTCCTTTGGAAGAAGCCATGGACAGACACACTGCAAACAGCAGCCAAATCCCCAACAGGAGAAATGAACGCTCTAGGGCCAGACCTGAGCAGAACACAAATGCCTTTCTCTGCAGAAACCCTGGTTCCCAGAGGCCTGGGGACCATTAATGGTCTGAATAGAAAACTAATTAGCCTCACAGTGAGAATAAGAGTTCTACCCAAACAAATTAGAAATCTATAAGAGCAGCCTTACTTTCAGTGGGCCCCAGGGAAAGATACTATTTCCAGGTGCTCCCTGGATCTCACAAGAGGCCAGAATAATCAAACATCAAATGGCCAGCATTCCAACAGGTTTCTGCTGAGAAGAGAACCAGGCCTACATCCCTGAAGGTACCACTGACAATTTCCTCTGATCTAGTTTGAAGTCCCCAAATAAAAGACCAGGCTCTAGATTCCTATCTTCCTCTTTTCTTCTTTACCACCAAACCATAAAAGACTCTAACTGCCCTGGGATGAGGAAGTAACCCATCTGGCTGTGTGGTCCTAGTCAGTCTATCTGGTAGCCAGGGAACTTGGGGAGGAGTCAACACACCCGGATTGCAAAGTAGTTCACACCATACATCTCCAGGTCCTGAGCTATCTTCAAATATTCCATTTCAGCTTCATCCCTGTAAGGAGAATGGAAGAACACCGTCACTGGGGCTAAGTGACAAGGGTGGAGGAAGACACTTGCCAAGCCAAGTATTCTGAGCATGCCTATCCTATGGTCTTATGACACCTGCAGAAGATATGACACAGACCAGACACCAGCAAAGCTTCTCCCAATCCAGAGTCTATTAAACAGAAGCAGAATTGCCCATCCCCGTGAAAATAAGAAAACAGATTCATTACACTGTCTCTTGGCTTCAATTTCACACTCTGCCCTTGGTAAATAGTGACATCTGTCTCAAGTGATTAAAAAAAAAAAGAATGTGGGGGCTGGGAGTGTAGCTTAGTGGTACAGCACTCACTTAGCACGTGCAAAGCTCTGGGTCCCATCCCTAGCAATAGCAAAAAGAAAAACCCAAACCATACTGTGTTATTTTCAACCTCCAATGAATTAAGTTGTTGCCTTATTTCTGTGCACTTTCTTAACCTAGAGGCTTTAGTAGTGAACAAGATTTTCTACACACTATGACAGCATCTACTTTCCTGATTTTTGTCTCTTGGGGCACTGTTGAAGGTTAAGGCAAGAACTATCTGAGCCATAAAACCCAGGCTAGTGGGTGAATATTTGTGTGTTGTAACTCAAACTTAAAGCAAGCTCTGGAAGCAGCAGTGACTTGCAGAAAACTCCCCAATAAGTAAATGTATTGAAGTAATTCAACTCAAGCTTCCCTATGACCTTGTCCTTGTCCTCTCTCTCATCTCAAAATGCTCAGATGGATTTTAAAAATTCACCCTGAGAGAATGCCAAGTGTTGGCAAGCAGGTGGAAGAACCAGAAATCACACATACTGCTGATGTAAATGGATTCAATTACTTTGGGAAACTGTTCAACATTACCTATAACAGCAAAAACCAAGAAACAACCCAACAACCCAAGAGTCCTTCAATGGTAGAATGGATAATAATAATCTGTTATACTAATATACTGGAATTCTGCACAGCCATGAAAATGAGAAAATTATTGCTACATGCCAAATCTGACAAATGATCTTCAGAAAAAGAAAGCACTTTGGGATACCATCTTACAAGGACTCCAATTTGCAGTAAGGCTTGTTAAGGAAGGGAATGGCTCAGTTTCCTTTAGCCTATTGGCTATGGGTGGGATAGGACCTCTGTTGGTCTTTTCTGTGTCAAACACACAGACTGTAAGCCCAGTGCCACTTTGAGATCTTTGGCAGCAGTTAACTCTGCAACTCACACACGATTGAGCATGTATGATAATGAGTATTCAGAGACGGGTAATGCCTGGGGGGCGCTCACCAACCTAAGACAGAGCGCCTGTGTGTCCTGGGCAGGAGTCTCCATGACGGGTAAGGTGACTTGCTGACTTCCCACACAACCTAAGTCAGAAGCTCATTTTTTAGTAAAAGGGGGACCTGTGGGTTCCTAGCCCCCGTTTTGGGTAACTGTTGCCTTGCTTGCTGACCTTGACCTTGACATCCTCCCTATGCTAATTCCCTGCCGGGTTCTACCCTCACTAAATGCTTAAGGAAGTTCCTTGTCTGTGTATCCTGCATAATGGGCGTTAACAGCTTAGATGCATCTGCCCTCCGGGGTTCTCCCATTGTGCTGTAAGCCTGTATTTAAGACCTCTTCCCTCCTTCAATAAACAGCATTCGGCATTTAAAAAAAAAAAAAAGAATAATGAGTGACCACTATTCTGGGCTGAGTAGCAAGACTCCACCTCAAAAAAAGAAAATCTGTGCATCAGTGCCCAACTCCTATCACAACATCAAATCTGAAGCATGTAAGTATAAAAGGTGGGCTACACACTGGCTTCCATTGAGCCTCAGCTACAGAGTCAGAAAAAAAAAAAAAGAATCACAAAGAGGGGCAATAATTGTTAACTGTCATTTGCAACCCAAAAGGGAGGTGACTAACGGGGAAATGAATTAACTAAAGGCTAAATTCAGGTAATATCTAAGAAGATATTATATGCTCAACTATAATCTTAAATGTGATTGGTGGAAAATGTTAAGAATCTATAAATTGCTAGGTCAATGACAGAAAGTAAAACTGCCTTTTTTCCTGTGGCTCCTAAAAAAAAAGAAAAGAAAAGAAAAAGAAAGCACTTAATATAGAATTTAGTTGCATTTATCTAAAGTTTAAAATGGGTGATAGTGGGCTAGGGATGTAGTTCAGTGATATAATAGTTGCTTAGCATATGAGAAACCTTGTATTTGATCCTCAGCACTACAAACTAGTAATATAATAATGGTAAACAAAAATCAGTGGGCAACACTAGCCTATGGGAACACAATTAGAAGTTGGGAAACTGGATTGGGCAGGATGGCATAAGCCTTTAATCCTAATACTGAGCAGAGGCAGGCAGATTTCTATGAGCATAGGCCAGCTGGGAATACATAGGAAGTTCCAGGACTCTAGGAGCTACATCGTGAGACTTTGACCCAAAAAATAAAAAGAAAGAAACTGGAAAACTAGTTATCTTTGGGAAAAAGGAAGCTGAGAAGTCATGGGCTTATCTTTTTGTGGTAAATGATAGAGCAGTGTACTTATGATCTGTCCATTTTGTGGGTATAAACAAAAAAGAAAAAAGATACAGAAGCTGGAGAAATGCCTCAGTGGTTAAGAGCATTGACTGCTCTTCCAGGGGATCTGGGTTTAAATCCTAGTACCCACATAGTGCCCCACAACCATCTGTAACTCTAGTTCTGATGCCTTCTTCTATGTCCTCAGGCACCAGACAAGCACATGGTACACGGACACGCATATAGGAAAAACATCCACATACATAAAACAAACAACAAAGATATAGTAGGAAGCTGATATGAAGGATTGGGGTGAGGGGCCGAGTTCAAAGATGATCAACATCTAAAGCTACCAAGGGAATACTTACAACAAACTATAAATTTTTGTGTGTGTGTGTTTTTTGTTTTTTTTTTTAAGATTTAGCTATTTATTATAAGCGCCAGATCTCATTACAGATGGTTGAGAGCCACCATGTGGTTGCTGGGAGTTGAACTCAGGACCTCTGGAAGAACAGTCAGTGCTCTTAACCACTGAGCCATCTCTCCAGCCCCAAATTTTTGTGTTTTAATTTTAATTTAGTAAAACTGTAGACTGATTAAAAACAAATGTTGAAAGAAACCTAGGGTGGTAGGAACATTCTACTAACACTGGTGATGGACATGTGCCAAAAGGCACAGATTTTTATTTATTTATTTATATTATGATTTTGTTGTTTGTTTGTTTTTTGAGACAGGGTTTCTCCGTTGTAATAGCACTGTCCATCCTGGAACTAGCTCTGTAGACCAGGCTGGCTGGACTCAGAGATCCGCCTGCCTCTGCCTTCAGAGTGCTGGGATTAAAGGTGTGCACCACCACCACCGCCTGGCTACAAATTATTTCAGAGAGCAATTTAGTTTCACCTGTCAAAACACAAAATGTTCATGTCCTTTGACCACTAACTCTCTTCCTAGAATCTACCCTCTAGTCTTGTGCAACTATGTAACAACACGAAATTGTACACTGCAGAGCTTTCTGTAAAAGTGAAAAGCATTCAGATATTCTAGATGCCATCAATATAGGCCTGAATGTAAAAACAAAGGGCCTTCGGACAGAATTTAAACTGCCACCAGGTTTGTGTATCTTGATAGGCAGAATACAAGACCACTTTTAATTAATTAATTTATGAATTTGGTTTTCAACCCAGAGTCTTACACATTCTAGGCAAGCGCTGTACCACTGAGCTACATGCCCAGATTGTCACATGCTCCTTTTATAACAACACACTACAATAAGGATGCACATGAAACTGGAGACCAACATTATTCCCAGTTCTCACTTTTCCTTTTGTATACTTCAGGACTGCATTTTGTCTACAAGCATGCCCTAGTTTTATAGTTCTTTAAGGGCGGGGGAGGGACATAAAGAAACGTAAACAAGGATGGAGCAGCCTCACCTGGCTCTGCCCCGGTGCTCCGCGTACCAAGCAGTAATTCTCTCCTCCCACATTTCCGGAGTCATCTGATAGAGATTTATCACCTACCAAAAAGACAGCAAAAGAAAATCCACATGCAAAGCAAGTCTGAGTATTGTTTGCCATTTTTATAATTATGGTTCATTTTTACAAAACAGCAAAGCTATTTTTATAAAGCTGCATGCAGGGAGAGTCACACACAAAGGTGGGTGTGTAAACAAGTCCCATGCCACTAGAGGATCGACCTGCAAGCTGCAGCATTCCTCAATCCTAACTACACTCCTGGGCTGGGAGGATCCACCTCTGCTGCTAGGGCTGCTCATCTCAGGGACCACCTCTGACAGAAAAGCGGTGCTTGCTTACTCGAAGCCATCAAAGCACAGGTAAAGGCAGGAAAGGGTTGAAGAAAGTCTTTATTACCCAGTGACAGATGATAAGTGGGGCTGTAAGAAGGGAAACAGCCAAAGGCTGCTTCTGTGTCTAATAAGTAAGATGAACAAGAGTGAGGACTAAAAGCCTCCCCCACCTCATCTTCTCCACCCCAAACAGCTCAATTCTGCACAGTGAACACAAGATCTCATGGCTCCCTTAAGTCAATGCCACTCAACCATCTTTAGAGATTGCCACACCAGAAAAATATCTACGGGCCACACACTTCCTAGCATTTGGCATCAATTCCACAAATCTTACATTTTGTTGTTTTGAGACCGAATCTCACTCTGTAGCCCAGGCTAGCCTTAACCTCATGATCCACTTGCCTCTGCCTCTTGACTACTGGGAGTTCAGACACAAACCACTATGTGCGGCATCTTTGCTTTTCAGGTGCTTGACCAAGAAAACTGGGTGCAGTGGTATACACCTGTAATTCCAGCACTCGGGAGACTGAGGCAAGAGGATAGGGAGTTCAAGGCCAGCCTAGACCGCAGAGCAAGAGTCTGTCTCAGAAATTAATAACCGGCGCTAGAAAGAAGCTCAGTAGGTAAAAGCACTTGCTCCACAAACATGAGGACTTGAGTTTGAACCCCAGTAGTGACAGGCATGAGGAGACACAGGAGGGATTTTCTTCAAATGGTGACCACAGTTACGTCAGGTACACCCCAGGCAGCACACTCAGGAGTAGTTGGCCAACACAAATGCCTCCATTACTGTTGGTGGTTTTGTTGTTGTTTAAGAGAGAGAAAGAACATAAAGCTGGGTGGACAGTGAGGTAGAGGGGGATCTGGGAGGAGGTGGGGAAGGTGAAAGAACATGATCAAAATATACTGCATAAAATGTTCAAGAAATAATCTGGGTGGTGGTGGCGCACACCTTTAGTCCCAGCACTGGGGAGGCAGAGGTAGGCGGATCTCTGTGAGTTCAAGGCCAACTTGGTCGACAGAGCGAGTTCCAGGACAGCCAGAACTATTGCACAGAGAAACCCTGTCTTGAAACAAACACACAAACAAACAAACAAACACCCTCAAAGAATAAATAAAAACATAAAAATAAGGCAAGCATGACTGTACATACATGCCTGTAACCACAGCATTGAGGGGTACAGACAGGCAGATCTGGAGTGCTCACTGGCTGGCCAGCCTAGCCCAAATGGAAGCTTCCAGCTGAGAGACCCTGTCTCATGGCATAAGGAAGAAAGAATACAGTCTCTGCATGTGTGAAAGGGCACACATACCTGCACACTCACAGGCACGTACAACACAACACACACAGTACAAGTAAGTAAATGTGCTTAACCAAGATTCCATACTCTTCTCAAGGTTATGAACTATGCAAATGTGCCTGCTCTGTACTTCCAACACTCCTTCAGATCAGTCAGTGGCTTTCCTTCAGCCATATTACTGTTTTCCCAAATAGAGAATTTGATTTCTTACCCTTTTTGGAAGTAATTCTTCTTGGGCTAAAAATCCCCGCTTGTGCACAGAGGGGTCATAGTCACCATACTGGAAGAAAAAGAAAAGAGATCGGGTGATTGAGATTCTAAAGACTACTGTCATTTCTGAACAAGGCTCAGCTCAGTTGGTCCCTCCTCCCAGTTCCAGCAATTCAATTCTGATGACAAGATTTCAACCTTGCCAGTTTGTTATCCTTGAATGAAAATACAAAGCTGATTACATCTATGAGCAGAGTTGTAAAATCCCATAAGGGATGGATGGGTGATGTGCTAATAAGAATGTGACATGTGTATGGAAATGTGGTCTGTTTCCTAACCCTCAAAGAAAGCAGTCATTTCCAAACATTAGCTTTGGAATGGAAACAACAAAACACAACTGTGGAAGTTGTGATTAGCAAAGTGTGATAAGAGCTTTACCTACAAATGCCTCTAAGTGGCTGGTAATTGGAGCCAATTGCTAGGTGGGACCAGGGAATAATGCAGGCAATATTTTTAGTACCTTTTGCTCAAGGCTCTGAAAATTGCTTTTGGAAGATCTGATATCAATACTCTGTCATTCCTACTGCACAAAGAAACAAATAAAAGGTTAACGGATAGAGCCGGAGCTGTAGAACCGAGCACTAGTGGGGCCTGCAATCTAAGTTTGCAGGGGCAACAACTCAGATATTTATTCTCTTATTCTTAAAAACAATACTCCTTTCTTTCCTAGAAAACTTAGGTCAGACCAGAGAATTACCCCACATCAAAGAACGGGGCAGATGACGCTTGGTGGCATAGCACTTGCCTAGCGTACATAAAGCCCTAGGTTCAAGCCTCAGCCCTAGGTATAAAAAGAGACTGTTGGCTAAGCATGGTGGTGCATACCTTTAGTCCCAGTCCTTGGGAGGCAGAGGCAGCTATGATTTGAGGTCAGTCAGAGTTACATAGTGAGACTTTGTCTCAAAGTAAAATAAAAATAAATAGGTGAGAGAGACAGAAAAAAGAATATAAGCACAAAACCTATCTCTTGGCAGTCAGCAGTCAATGGTTTTTCTCTCTTTTACATTTACTTATTTGGGGGGAGGGGTGCAATGCCACAGTGCTTATGTGGACTCAGTTCTTCCCTTCTATCATGTGGCTTCCAGGGATCCAGCTTAGGTTGGAAGGCTTGGCAGCAAGTGCCTTTACCCACTGAGCCATCTAAGCAGCCCAGGGGTTTATCTCTCCCTTTTCTTTTTTTTTTTTTTTTTTTGGTTTTTCGAGACAGAGTTTCTCTATGTAGCTTTGTGCCTCTCCTGGAACTCACTTGGTAGCCCAGGCTGGCCTCGAACTCACAGAGATCCGCCTGCCTCTGCCTCCCGAGTGCTGGGATTAAAGGCGTGCGCCACCACCGCCCGGCTTTCCTTTTCTTTAATTGAAAGTTTTATTTCATTTTATGTATATGAGTGTTTTACCTGCATGTTGTATGTCTATGTCCCATGTGTGTGCCTGCTGCCCTTGGAGGCCAGAAGAAGACATCAGTTCCCTGGGAACTGGAGTTACAGATGATTGTGAGCCACCACATGGGTGCAGAGACTCAAGCCTGGTCCATCTGTAACTACAGTTCCAGGGAAGCCAGCTCCCTATTCTGGCCTCTGTGGGCAACAGGCATGCACAAAATGCACACACATACACAAGGTAAAATATTCATACACATAAAATAAGATCAAATAATTTTTTAAAAATTTAAAAGAAGATTAAATTTCTCCAAGTCTAAGTTCTCTTAAATGAGAGCACTGGCCCTAGAGGATGCTGAAGGGACCTCTAGAGTGCTGCTGTGGAGGTCTTTAAATAAGGTACCCCCTCTTAAGCCACAGTGTCCTCACCTGTAAAACAAGGAACAAACTGTAAAGAAATTCAGGCAAGCATTTTGGGGTGGTGCTGGTGAAAGTCAGGCATGACCGTTACGGTGTCCTTTGCATTACTGAGGACTTCACAGGACATGACGAAAAGCCATGTTAGTTGCATTTGCAAGCCTTTCAACACTTGCCAACCAGATTTTAATGCAAAAGTAAGCAGATATGCAAAGTTAAAGTTGTAAATTCAGGTCTCAAAAGCTTGCAAGATTAACGAGCCCCATTATTAAATTATTCCGAGCTCCCAGCTCCTACACTGATCAAATACATTACATCTAAGCCATGCAGAAGTGAAGATTCTGCTGAAAGAGCTTCTTCACTGAACTAACTCCACTCAACATTAAAGCTACCTTGATGTCTACTTAAATGTCTATTAAAAACAAAGGGAAAAAAGCTGGTGTTGTGGCAGTAAATAAAAAGAAAGCCATACCACACTATAGATGGAAATGACTAGTCCTCATCTTTTTATATAACAGAAGCATTCTGAGAAGATCAAGGTGAATTTACTGTGAAGGTAAGAAAGCTGGAGTCTCAAAGCTCTGCAGCTTTCTGGGCCTATGCTTAATCTTATAGTCATCATTTTGGTATTCCTGTATTAAAGAAAAACCTGTAAATTGCCTAAATTTCAGAGCCCACAAGACCTGATCTTATACTGCCCTACAAACATCTTGAATTTAAATTCAAGAAGGGGAAGACCGGGGATGCAGACCAGTGATGTAGCTTAGCATGCAAGAGATCCATGTGCAATTTTTAGAATTAAAACCAAGTAAATATCATTATCACTTTGAGGAACTGACAATTAATATAAAATTCTTGGGGGTGGTGGGGTAGGCTGGAGACATGGCTTAGCAGTTAAGAGCACTTGCTGGGAGCCCCCATGGTACTGTACCAGGCCTCTGAATAAATGAGACAGTTCTTTAGCTTGAACTGTTTAGGGGGCCCAGGCAGTGGGATCGGGACCTGTCCTAGTGCATGAGCCTGCTTTTTGAATCCTAGTGCCTATGCTGAGACACTTTGCACAGAGGCTGTGCCGGGAGGAGGGGCTTGGACCTGCCTCAGTTGAATGTACCAGGCTCTGCTGACTCCTCAGGGGAGACCTTGCCTTGGAGGAGGGAGGACAGGGGAATCTGTGGTTGATATGTAAAATGAATAGAAAATCTCTTAATAAAAAATAAAATAAAATAAAATACAAGGAAAAAAAAAGCACTTGCTGTTCTTACAGAAGACCTGGGTTTGATTCCTAGCACCCACATGACAGATCACAATCATCTGTAACTCCAGTTCCAGGATAGCTGATGCCCTCTTCTGCCTCCTTGGACATTGCATGCACATGGTACACAGGCATACATGCAAGCAAAACACTAATACACATAAAAAATCATTTAAAAAAACTTTTTGTGGGGGCTTGTGATATAGCTCAGCAGTTAAAGGTCCTTGCTGCCAAGTCTAATGACCTGAGTTCTATCCCAGGAACTCATGATGGAAGGAGAGAACTAACTCATGGAAGTTGTCCTCTGACCTCTACATCCCATCCCACCCCACCCTACCCCTGCCAAACAAAATACATAAATGTAATTTTTAAATATTAAAAAACCAAACAGACAAAAAACAAAACCCATGATGCTTCTGTGAGATGCCTCAGCAGGTAAACATGCCAGTTGTTAAGTCAAGTCTAATGATCTGAGTTCAATCCCCAGGACCCACATGGCCCAGGGGAGAGAACTGACTCCTTTAAGTAGTCCTCTGACCGTCACATGCGTGCTATGGCAGGCACACACACAATATAAATAAATATGTAATTAATTTTTTTAAAGATCAACTTCTGCCAGGCAGTAGTTAGCACTCACCTTTAATCCCAGGACTCAGGAGGCAGGGACAGGCGGATTTCTAAGTTTAAGGCCAGCCCAGTCTACAGAGCAAGTCCAGGACAGTCAGGGCTACACAGAGAAACTGTGTCTCAAAAAACAAAAACAAAAACAAAAAAATTGCTCTTTGCTGCTCTGGGGCTGGGGGTAGAGCTCAGTGGCAGAGTGCTTATGGACCTGAGTCTGACCTCCAGTACTACAAAATCAAAAGCTCAGCATTTATTTATACAACTCTGTCTTTCTGTCTGTCTGTCTTCCTATTTTCAGGAGGACAGATGTGTGGATATCTCCTATGTTGCCCAGGCTAGTCTCAAACTCCTAGGCTTGAGTAATTCTCCTGCCTCAGACTCCCAAGGAGCAAGGCCTAGCCACTTGAAATGTGTAAGCTAAAAAGGAGTCTCTTTCTGGGAATTAAGTTCCTCTCTGTATATGCAATGGAAAAATCAGACCAAATGTTCTAAATGAGTTCTAATAAACCAAAGTTTGTCTGTCTGTCTGTCTTTCCTTTTCTTTTCTATTTTGGTTTTTCGAGACATGGTTTCTCTGTGTAGCCCTGGCTGACCTGGAACTCACTCTGTGGACCAGGCTGACCTCAAACTCACAGAGATCTACCTACCTCTGCCTTCCGAGTGCTGGGATTAAGGGTATGCACCCCCACCACCTGGCTGATCTGTTCTTTACAGAGCCACCAAAGGTTCTGTGCAAAACATAAAACCTTCACTGGCTCAGCAGCACCCGTAGACTAATGGTAAGACCTTTCATGACCTGCTCCCTAAAGGGCTTTCACCTTCAGCTCTTGCCACTGTGCCTGTTTTTATATGTACTCAATTTCTTACTGAATTACATTTAGCCACTGTCCCTGACACTTTAGAGTACTAAGAAACACTAAGCTTCTCCCACTCTTTTTGTGTTTGTTTTGTTTTTGAGACAAGGTCTCTGTATGTAGTCCTGGCTGTCCTGAAACTAGGCAAGTGGACCAGGCTGGCCTCAACACTCAGATCCTCCTGCCTCTGCTTCCCAAGTGCTGGGATTAAAGGCATGCACCATAAAGCCTGGACAGACTCATTCATTTTTAATTTATGTGTGTGTGTGTGATCCTTTGTGAGTGAGTGTGTATTGCACACGTGTGCAGGAGCCCTCAGAGACCAGAAGAGGGCACTGAATCCCCAAAACTGGAGTGACAGGCAGTTGTAAGCTGCCATGTAGGTGCTCAGATTCAAGAACAGTAAACACTCTCAGTGGCTGACCATCTCTGTAGCCCCATCTTCCACTATCCTTTTCTTCCTTCTGAAAGAGCCTACAGGCAGCACCAAGATTCATGAATGACATCCTATTCTCTCCTATTAATTTTCAGTACAAACACATTTAAGAAAGAAAGAAAAACACGTTTGAAACACCAAATTGTCCATACAAAATCCAACAGGTGGCTTAAAAATTGCAAGATGGTTTCATTTGTCATGTGACTGATCTGTTCTTTTGATTCTAGCATAACTCAAACAAGAACCAAGAAATATGGTTCATGTTGACTGAACCATGTGATTAATATTTGTATTTATACTTTGAAGTTAACTGTTTCTTTATGCTTTGGAATTAAGTGTGTCTGTATCATTCCAACAGCTGAAATACTGTAATGAATACATTTGCACATAATTTTGTTCCATGTGTTAATGAGCTCGATTCCACTTCCCCTCCATGTTTTTACAGTTCCTTTCTGTTTTAGAAAGGCTAGGAAGAAAACAAACTGCACATAATGGAAGGAGCCAGTATGGCTTATTGAAAAGTTCAGGTTGTCTTTATTTGTTTATTTATACTTTATGTGCACTGGTACTTTGCCGTCATGCATGTCTGTGGTAAGGTGTAAGACCCCTGGAGCTGGAGCTACAGACAGTAGTGAGCTGTATGCAATTGTGGAAATTGAACCTTGGTCCTCTGGAAGAGCAGCCAGTGCTTTTTAACTACTGAGCTATCTCTCCAGCCCGAGGTTGTTTCATCTTGTAAATGAAACTAGAATTTAGTGAAAATTAATGCCTGACCTCCACACATCTCACTAGACAGTATGGGGCAGGAACAAGGTGCTGGGGCAGGAACAAGGTGCTGGGTCAGGTGGCCCAGACAGCGGCGGGGTTTCCAGTCTGGCTCCACCCTCCCTCCACTGCTTCAATCCTCATGGAGAGGCAGGTAACTATATGGTAGAGCACTTGCCTCACATGTGCAGGGCTTTGGGTTCCAACCCCGATACCATGAAAACAAAACACAACAAAACAAGTAGCTTGTACATTTCACAAGTACAGAAATAACATATAAGTATTGTGATTTTGAACAAACTTTTAACTTTTTTTTTTTTTTGAGATAGGGTTTCTCTGTGTAGGCCTGGCTGTCCTGGAACTCACTCTACAGACCAGGCTAGCCTCAAACTCACAGAGATCCGCCTGCTTCCACCTCCCAAATGATGGGATTAAAGGCGTGCACCACTACGCCCAGCTCATTCATCTTCTCTAACCTTTAATTTTGTCATCAGGAAAACAAACACAAGCCTTGGCTTCCAAACTATACTACATGGACTATCTTGTGAACAGTCTGTTGAGCACTTTGTAAACATCATGGATATAGCTCATCCTAAATATCTTCTCACTAATAACCAGTAGTTATTAAACTGGTAACATTGTTAAGAGTAAGCCCTGTTTTCCTGAATGCAAACAGGGCCTCACTTTACAACCCTTGCTAGCCTGGAACTCACAGGGATCTGACTGCCCTGCCTAGTATTAAAGGTGTGCACTACCATGCCCGGCCTGAATACAGACTTTAAAAGTTAGAGATTACCTACCTTTATTTGTAAGATTCCTAAATTTAACACCAGAAAAAATAGTTAAGAGCACCCACCCCCATATGAACCACATATGTCGTCTGTGAATCACTTTCATCTCCAAATTGGCAGAAGCCAAATAAGTAGGGTTTTCCTGCAGTGGAATCTGTTCAAGCAAACATCTGCTGGTCCCTTGAAAAATGACCCCCACCCTCTGCCCCCACAGGTAGCCTGTGAATCTGTGACCCCAAACCCATAGCCTCTGAGACTGAGATAATATCCTTGAGTGCTTGGGTCTCAAGCAGGAGAAAGCACGCACAAAGGAACTCAGTCTGAGCCCAAAGTGCATGGGTTTAATGAGAGTAATGATGACAGCTTTGTCCTGTTAGGACGGAAAGGATACATTTTCCCATTACTAATATTCTTGATCAAAGCATCAAAGGAGCATATGCTTTACATGAACCACAGCCCATTTTCTCTTTTCTCAATTACTCCTTTTTCAAGGAAGGCACAAAATACCTTTCTAAAACCATAGACTCTGTCTCTACCTTTACTCATGAAGGTACCAACGACCTGGGAGAACCACTGAGGGCAGAGCTTGCTCTAGTGCCTGCATCTGACAGTTAACAAGCCTCACATCCCATGCCTTGTGACTACTCAGCAGACACTAATGCGTCATCAAATGATTAAACTGACTCTGTGCTTCTACTAGCCTGACCAGCATACATACTTCGAAGCCCTTTTCCCAACTCAAATGGCAAACAAGTCATTCCTGGCTTTGAACTGAAGTTGTATTGAAAATGTGATTGAGGTGGGAAATCCAAGGGTCATGAAACACTCTAGATGGCCTTACACAATGGGACAAAAACCTAATACTCAATGATGTTCCTCTCCCACCACCCCTGGTCTGCCGTCTAAATAAGAGTGAATGACTTTAGGCTAATGAGATAGCACTAATGGATGAAGCAGGCTCAACAGACCCAGCTCCTAGCCACACGCACAAAGTATGCCCACTGGGACCTCACCAGGAGTGCAGCTTCTAAGCATGTAGTCTCTGGAAAGATAGGTTTGGATGGAGAATCTGGGTCTTACTGACCTAAAGGCCTCATTTGATCATAATTAGAGACCATAAACGCACTTTTCCTGACTAATAAAACAAAGCTGATGTGATGAATGTAATGAACCACATGTGCATAATGAGATTACACAGAAAATTCATCTTTTTGAATGAATTCACTTAGAATGAATTGTAAGTCATTAGAATGATATGCTTGTCACTTGTATACACAACACATACATACACACACACACACACACACACACACACACACACACACACACACACACACACATCCAAAATACAACTCTCATGACATCTCATTTTGGAGGGTAAGTTGTTCTGAAGTCCTTAAAATCCAAAGAAATGGAAGATTGGAGCCAGGCTGTGATAAGTTAATGTTGAGGAAGAATTCATTTTTCTTTCTTTGCACCCACCTTGGCCTGGACAGCGTAGGAAGCCAAGAGCACTGAAGCCTCAGGAGGGCAGTAGATCTTTTCATCCAAAATCTGTTTCTTCACCTGAAAGGGCAGTGAACGAGAGAGATGAGACGGCACGTGGGGAAGACAGCAGTGCCGCCTGGTCACAGCAGATGGCTGCAGGGTACCCTAAATGAGGGTTGCCAGAGCAGCCTGTTAATGATTTTCGGACAAAGGGGACTTTTTAAAAAAAGTGTTGCAGACCAGTTGAGAGTTCAGCCACTGAGAAGTTATCGGTAAGATAGCTGCACAAAAGCCCTCATCTCTTCTCCTCAGAGTCACGGCTGAAGAGTAAAATAGGATCTGCTTGATTACAGCAGGCACTGACGGGGGCTCTGACTCAGTCTTGGCCCCTGTGGAGCACTCACAGCACTAGAGGAGATGGAGTCTACTTTCAAATCTTCATACAAGACAAAAGTCTTCAAGGCCACTGAATTATGACTGGAGAAAAAGTCATTACTTCCAATGTGCTGCTCTAAGGAAAAAGGAAGTAATAAAATTTGATCGATTCAACTTTTAAGTACACATGAGGTTCAGGAAATACAATTCCTAAGCCATAATGTTGAATTAACATATCTCATTGCACCTAATTCCATACAGTGGTGCAGTGTATGATGTTCCAGACACAAGGACAAGAGAACCACATGAAGTGGGGGTACATTAAGCAAATCTAACTCTTTTCACAGATTCCTATTAGTAAATGTTGCCTTGCTTACTCACAAAAACAATCTAACATCTCAGTATGAAGGAAGATCAAGCAAAGTCACAGTGGGACAGGTGCTGCCTCAAGTCCTCACAGGAAAGCCATTTCTATAGTACTAAAATATTCTGGCCTCATGTAGCTTGAGGTGGTCTTGAACTCTCTACGTAACTAAAGATGACTCTGAACTTCTGATCCTCCTGTGGATTACAAAAGTACACTATGCTCTATTTATACAGCACTGGGGTTGGAACCCAAGGCTTCATAAATACAAGGCAAGCATTCTATAGACAGCTACATCCCCAAGCCCCAAAGACTCTTCATGTGGCTTCATTCACACATACACTATCCCCCCCCCAGCCCCCCGCCCCCAGGTTTTAAAACTAAGAGAAAATGAAAGCTGAGATGTTCTGAAGCAATGAAACCTTCACATCTCCTAGTTTCTTTACAAAGAGAAAAGAAGTCATAACACAAAAAATCTGAAAGGGTTACCTTTTGACCTAAAACACGTACACACGCACACATGTGTGGAACTCCTTTGTAAAAGAAACTATTTAGCCAGGCATGGGGCACACATCCCAGCATTCCAGAGGCTGAGGCAAAAAGATCTCAAGTTCAAGGTCAGCCTTATCTATGGAGTGAGAGCCTCTTAACAACACAACACAACACAGCATTATATGGAGAGTAATATCATATTTCACGTACTATATCATGAACACAATACACAGAAGCTTCATATTACAAGGATTGTGTGAAAAATCACAGATGTACTTCTGGGAAATCAATGTATTCAATGCCCTGTTACAGTCTTTTACATCATGGACAAAGGGGCACTCTGGGACACATAAGCAGCTTCAGCATCAGTCACACCACAGATAGCCATGAAACTGGGAAGGCTCTCTGACAATGACAAAACAAGGTTTCCATCCTTAAAGGAAGCAGCTCCCTGTGCTCCTAGATGGTCAACCTGTAATTCTGGAATGCCTAACTTCTTCAGTTTGGTTAAGAATGACTTAAGAACACCATCTGCATATTCAACGAGCCTGTCTCTAAGGAGCTTGCACTCCAGTGAAGGGGGAAATGACAATATACACCCAGAGTAGTGCAGAACGGGCTGTCTGAAATACCTTCGGCATGGGTCAGACCAAGAGTCACTGCCATTCCGAAGAACTGCCTTGATGATGGCAGATCTTGAACTTTAAAGAAACTTCCTGCTAACCCTCTGAAGCTTTTCTTTATAACCTCAGAGAACTTTCAAGTTAGCTAGAGGAAACTGGGATGTATGTTCACAGAGGTTTATATATTGGGTAACCGCTTCTACTGTTCTTCATCATCACACCTCTGCAATTTCATCTGACATCAATTCTCACCACATGGGCAAAGTTCTATTCTCAAGATTTTTTTTCCCCATTACTGAACTAAAAGGACTGACTATTTGGAGGCAAAACATTTTCTGCAGTGTAGAAGCCTTTGCGACCAACTCTAAGGGGTTCACCTGGGCTGCTTTTGCAACCAAACTCAGATTGGTCCTCTTAGAACTGGGGGAGATAGCATGGGCCGGTGTACCTGTAAAAAAAATAAGTGCTGCGTGATCTCTTGAACTAGTTCCTCCTCAGCATTCTCAGGATAAAATTTGGCCAGGAAGTGAAAGGTAACCGGTTCTTCTTTCGAAACATCATGATCCAACACCTGCAGAATTTCAGAGCAAACAAAAGACATGCTGTGCTGGTTCCTCTTCATGGACTACTATCAAAGCACGCTGTGCAGGGAAGGTATAAATCCCTTCCCTGGTTGCATTCATCCCATTTCCCAAAGGCTGTGTTTCTACAATTGGAAGCATTCACAAAGCCATCCATAGCAGGAGATAATATCCACTTTGCACAGGGGGTTCTGAACTAAACCAATCAATAAACCCAAGGGGTGAGCAGAGCTACGGTGACAGCATCAGTGTTCTCAAAGCCATGGAAAATAGTTACAAACCAGAATGTATAACTCAAAGATCTTGGGCATTATCCTTTATGGAAGACTGAAGATTTAAAAAGGTTTGTTTTTTTGTTTTGTTTTTCTGAAATAGTAACATCTTCCTTTATTCTTTTTTCTTACTGCCCACTCTAATAGGTTCCACTGGAATATAGCTTAAACTAGATTTTTGTGACATCATTTATATGTTATGAATACTAGAAGTGAAACATGGCCATCATGGCAATGCTTTGTTCCTGGAATCTTTCCGAGATGGCCACAAAATGCTTGCAGTGCAGTGAGTAAACCACTGTCTTTAATCTTCTAACAATCCCACCCACCCCCTGAAAAGCTTGGACATCTGCTCTCCAGAGTGAATTTCATTTCAGGACATAAACATACTACCAGGCTCCATTAACATGTGTCATAATTTATTTCCCTTGAGCAGCAGGTTCTATGACTCCTGATGCCCCCAATCTAATATCCATTTGGCTAACATTCAGGTATGATTTAAAATTCACTTTGCTGAGAATCATAAAAAGATACAGAAAGCTTTGCTGTGTCTGATATATAACTCTCCATATGCTTGCCCAAATTCCAGTGGCAGTCCCCAAGGGACTCAAAATAAGTCTAATCTAGTTGCCTTCCTCGGCACTGGCTCTTTGTGGCATTTAGAGTTTCTAGTCATTGGGAATGACCATTGAAATGGACAACCAAAGGAGTTCTAAGCACGAAGGAGATCAGCATATACATGTTGTGAACACAATTTGTACATCTCACTTAACATTAGTAAGAGGAGACTCTTGTTGGTTACCACATTATGCAGTAGATAACTTCAGGGGCAATTGACAGGAGCACCATTTAGGGTCAGAATTAGACATAGGCTGGGCAGTAGTGGTGCACGCCTTTAATCCCAGCACTCGGGAGGCAGAGCCAGGCGAATCTTTGTGAGTTCGAGGCCAGCCTGATCTACAAAGTAAGATCCAGGACAGGCTCCAAAGCTACACAGAGAAACCCTGTCTCGAAAAAACTAAAAAAAAAAAAAAAAAAAAAGAATTAGAGAGTTACTTTGGGACTCAGGAGTCTTTTGGCCCTGTTCTCCAGCTGTCTTCACTGTTAAGTGGCCAGGAAAACAGATAGGCATGCCTTTGTGTGAATATATATGAACCCATAAATGGGCAGCTTCCCTAAGCTTCCAAGCCACCTTCAAATTACTAGAAACCTAGATTTCATGTGCTTAAGAAACCCCAGAGAATCCTGAGGAGGAAACAGGCATTGCTCTTTCATCTCAGGCTTTTATTCCTTAGGTTTCATTAATGATTAAGTCGTGGTGTTCTCAAAGACTTATTAAAAAATAAAAAAAGAACATGAGCCCCAGGAGAATCTCTCAAAGACATAAATTGTTGAGTTTTTTGTTTTTGTTTTTTGAAGCATACAAAGATAACAGTAATGCCATCCCTAAAACCTGACTATTGGTTCAATAAACTGATACCAAAAAGCAAACGGTGGTGACAACGGGCAGGACAAACTGGTCAAGGTTTAGGCCTGGCGAATCCTGCTTGTCTGGAGTCTGTGGAGAGCAGAAATGCCTGTAGGACCTGTTTCCTACATACATGACTTAATATTAAGAAGTGCCCCCTTCTTTACCATATCCTTGTGTTACTCCAACAATGAGCAAATAAGCTAAGTGCAGGCTTAGGGAAAAAAAAAACAAAACCAAAACCAAAACCAAAAAACCAGAAAGCATGAGCCTCCCCCACTGGTTTCATGGAGATTGAGCCCAACCTTCTTGTCCATTTTGAGCCAAGCCACGGTGTCCTTGATTGTGTACTGCAGTCCAAAAAACCAGGTCTCCCGAAGCCCCAGCGTCCGACACACCAAATCAAACAGGTCTTTCCCTTTCCATTTCATCTGCAATATAACAAACCAACAGGGAAGGATGATGTGAGCAAAAATCATAATCAGCTCACACACAAAACTGTTCTCAGCACTCTCTACTATCACCAAAATGTCCAATGAGCACTGAATTCCTAAATAATTTTAAAGCTTCCCACACAAAACCATGAGTGGGAAAATACCAATTAGAGCTTAATGGCTCAATCTCTGCGGAGCACACACAATACCTCCTTGGACAGTTCCTACAGAGCTCAGGATCCCCGAAGCTGCTAATTTTGGAAACCTGGTAAATAGGCAGCCTCATTTAGGAAAGTCAAGCCTCCTAAATTAGCCCAGGAAGATGGCTAGTTTGTGAGACACTAACTCCCTTGAGATGTTGTTGGGTTTTTTATTTGTTGTTGTTGTTTTTAAGTCATTACTGCCTTTTGATAAAAGGTAAGTATTCTCTTTTTAACTTAAAGACTACTTTTACTAGGAAAAATATTAAATATATGGTTGCAAGCCACAAATTGCAGAGGAGAAGAACAATGAGAGACCAAATAGGCCAGTTGCAGGTCTCTATCAGGATGCCTGGTTGGGCCCAAACAGAAGCAACTTGCCCACAGGTACAACAAGCAATTCTAAATGCTCAGTGTCCAAACCCAAGCAACGAATATACAAATTAACTATGGCATGTTTATTCCATAGCCTCACTTTCCAAAGCACCTGAATCACTGCTAACCCTTTTTCTTTTTCTCTGCTATTCAATGGTGTAGCTGGAAACAGCCGGGCGGTGGTGGCGCACGCCCTTAATCCCAGCACTCGGGAGGCAGAGGCAGGCGGATCTTTGTGAGTTCGAGGCCAGCCTGGTCTACAGAGCGAGATCCAGGAAAGGCGCAAAGCTACACAGAGAAACCCTGTCTCGAAAAAAAACAAAACAAAAAAACAAACGAAAACCAATGGTGTAGCTGGAAAAAGCAAGCTCAAACATCTCCATAGGGAAAGAGGATGTAGGGCAGCTGAGTAAATGCTGCCATCTAGTGGCTTTCAGTCAATAGGTTTTTCCTGTATTACCTCTTAGCTCCTGCTTGCCAGATATCCACCCCAGCTACCCCATGTATCAAATAAACACTTGAATACAGTTATGATCATATGAACCATATGCTTGGGTGATCCTGAGATGCAAATGTAAGGGAATGATAAGGCCACCTGATTGCAGAAGTAACTGCTCTTCTCCCGCCCCCCCATTAGGAAACCACCACCCTCCAGGAGACAGCTCAGGAAAGTGTTTGTCACTTAAGCCTGAGAACCTGAGTTTGAGCCCAGCACTCATGTAAAAAGTTGGCTGTGAGCCCGGCTGCTGTGGCACACGCCTTTAATTCGGGCACTCAGGAGGCATATCTCTGTGAGTTTGAGGCCAGCCTGGTCTACAGAATGAGTTCCAAGACAGCCAAGGCTACACAGTGAAACCCTCTTGAAACAGCCCCCCACACACACACACACAAAAAGAAGTTGGTTGTGGTGGCCCATACTTGTAATCCCAGCACTGGAGGGGTGTGGGGTGCCAACCAGCCTAGCCTAATAAAGGAACCCAGGTCCCAGTGGGTATCTGGTTTAAAAAAAAAAAAAAAAAAAAAAAGCCAGAAGCAGGGGCAGGAAGATCTCCAAGTTTGAGGCCAGCCTGGTCTACAGAGCAAGTTCCAGGACAGTCAGGGGTACACAGAGAAACCCTGTCTCCCTCTAACCACACACCATTGCATTCACACTACACACACACCTCCAATAAATAAATAAAATTAAAAACATGAACAAGGTGAATGGCTCCTGAGAATCAGAGGTTGACCTCAATGTTTGTGTTGGGTGTGTGCCATGAATATATGGAGCTCAGAGGACAATGTGGTGAAGTTGGTTCTCTCTTTAGACCTTTATATGGCTCTGGGGATCACTCTTGTAGACAGGCTTGTACAGTTAGTGCCTTCAACCACTAGCCATCTTGCCCACCCCTTTACCTTTTCCCCCACCCCAAGTATTAGGGATCAAACTGGGGTCTTGCACTTCTTAGGCAAGTATCCCACTATTGAACCATACTCCTAGCTTTAATAGATGTGAATGAACAGAGTCCTCTTCAGGTACTCAACAGGAGAAGCCATGTCTCTCTGTGTTTGCAGCCAGAGTCAGCAACTCAAATGGTAGGACACCAAGATCACAGCACACAAGTGGCATATTGGCTTTGGTCCTTTGCCAAGCAAGGCATTTCCCCTATCTGTCCTGCAACCTTGACCCCACACCCTCTGACTACAGTCAGGCCCCTGGAATACGGCAAAGAGAAATCTTTAGAGATTTTTGAGTAGGAAAAACTGAGTTTTATTTTAAAAATATAATTGCTTTCCCCCTTTTATAAGGCTAGATAATAAGCACACCCATTTGACAACTGGACAGAGGGTTTTTTTAATTCTTTGAAGGTCTTAATTCCTACAGGCAGACTTAACTGAAGAAATGTGATTTTGAAGAACTGGAAGCTTCAGGATGCTGATTCTCCTCTTGTCTCTATTTTAAGCAGCACACAGTATATAAATTATAAATGCCTACCTTGCCACAAGATAATGTGCCACTAAAGAACAGGCATTAACTCGGAGAAGTTAAACATCCGAGGGCCAAGAGGATCAGGACATCACTCCCAATCCACCATAACTCACAGCCACAGTCAGGTCAGGCCTTGGCACAAAGGACTGCTAGCAAGCAGGATGAGTAGACCTGGAAGGAAAGCTTCCAAGGGACAATGAGTGAGCTTCCACACTGGGGAGCTGAAAACCTCAACGTAATACTGTATTATTGCAGCTTTCCTGTACCCTTCTATTTCTTGGTTTTTAAAATGCAGGCCTACTTTTTGTTAACTGCAAAAGACAATGTCACTGTCCCATGGAGCTTGCAATAAAGTGAAGAAACAATTCTCAGAACAATCCAGAATGCCCTACTTACATTATTTTCCCTACTTATACCTAACATTGGTGCAAAGAATCACTGACTACTGGAGCTGGAAATGAGCCTCAGGAGTCACCCACTGTGAATCCATGCTCTTTTTGTAAAACTAAGTAAACTGAGTCACCAATTATTTGGCAGTGTATCAAAATAAACACTGGTCTGTTTTTTCATGGTGATCCAAGGCAGGCAAATCCCTTGTCTCACAAACACCCTTTTCCAGTTCTGTGATCATCAGATCTTTTTACCTTGGCCAGTAAGCGACCAATACTGAAAGAGAACCCTTCTGAGAAGAGTCAGACACAGCTCATTCACAGCTCTCTGTGGACAGAGCCCGTTTTCCAACAAGTACTGTAGAGCATACCAAGTGTCACACACTGAAGCTATACAATGGCGAAAGCAGGGTGTCTGTGGGAGAAAAAGGCAAGAACTCAGGTCAGAGGAGACTTGAAGAACAAGTAAGGGTTCAGTGATCGAGGGAAGGAACACTGTCTTAGAAACAAAACACCATGATCATTCCAGGGAACTGCAAGGCTATGTGCTGTGACCGGCACTGACAGCCAACCTCTGGAGTCGGGTGGTGGACGACACTGGAGGCTGGAGCAGGTGGCTCGCTTCAGCAGAAAGCCTTAGGCTTTGAGGACTAGTCTGCCTTATGCCAACAGGGTGAAGAGTAAGTTGCAGGGAAGGAACAGTTGCAGGACAGACAAGAGCACAGAGCAGGTGATCGATCCCTCCTGTCATCAAGAAGGCAGAAGGAGAGAGAGGCTGGGAAGCGGAAGGAGGCAGTCCCAGAACCAGCACTTGAACAGGCTAGAGGGAGCAAAGCTCAAGGACACCTACCTGCATTTCCGGCTTGAGCTCCTGGTATCCCACTAAAAAAGAGAAGGAATACAGAAAAAGCAGCAAGGTTGGCGAAAACAGATGAGCAATTAAGTTTTAGACAAGATTAGTTAAACCAAAGAAAGCAAGTGGCCTGGTGGCGCACACCTTTAATCCCAGCACTCAGGAGGCAGAGGCAGGCGGATCTCCATGTCAAGACTAGCCTGGTCTAGATAGATAGTAAGTTCCAGGTCAACCAAGTCTACCCCGTCTCAATTTTAAAAAAAAAAAAGGAGGAGGAGAGAAGGAAGGAAGCAAAGTAGAGATGTCCTAAATGTATTTAAGCTTCCAGCCCTCTGAGCTGGAGAGCTGGCTCAGCTGCACATGCCACAAAGAAGTCTAAGAACCCAAGTTCATTCTCTGGGACCCATGTGGTAGGAGAGAGCTGACCCCTACAACAGGTCATCCTCTGACCTTCATATATGTGCCCCCACACAGACACAAAGTAAATAAATGTAAGTATTTTTTAAAAGACTTAAAGACTTTCATTTATAAAATAAAACATTCTAAGGTGAGACAGGAAGATTGGTTGAGCCTAGGAGTCCATGATAACGCAATATAATACAGTGGGACCTCATTCCAAAACAAAAGAAACATTTGTCTCTGTCTTTAAGCAATTAATAAGTTTTTTGACCAAACATGTTGGCCTTACACCTAGAATCCTAGCAATTGAGAGGTTGAGGCAGGGGGCCAGCTTTGTCTATACAGAGAGATTCAAAAACCAACCAAACAAGCAAGCAAAAAAACCAACAATCAGGGCTGGAGAAATGACTCAGAGGTTAAGAGCACTGGCTACTCTTCCAGAGGACCCGGGTTCAATTCCCAGCACCCATATGGCAGCTCACAACTGTCTGTAACTCCAGTTCTTGGGGATCTGACACTCTCACACCAATGCACATAAAATAAAGTTAAGTAAATTATTAAAAAAAAAATCAAAGAAACAAAAAATCAGCTTTCTGTTGGGTTAAATTTAATCTTCACATGTTACCTATAAAAAGTTATGCTTTCCAACATGTTCTTCCTCAAATGCATGAGGCTTCCTTTGTCTTCCTTATTTGAGTTTCTGCTTCTATATAAACAAGAACTGTTGGCCATGGGTGCTCTAGAGAGTTCTCAAGTTCCTGTGGAAGGGAGGCTGGGCTTTCTTGGTACAAGATGGCTAGCCTGACCACGAT